TTTTCTGGTTTTTCCAGATGGGGTTTCTCTATTTTACTTTGGAACCTGTCCTGGAATTAGCTCTGTAGACCAGGCTGGCCTCCAACTCACAGAGCTCTGCCTTCCTCTGCCTTCCTCTGCCTCCCAAGTGCTGCGATTAAAGGCATGTGCCACCAACACCCGGCTTACTACCACACTCTTAACTCTGATTCTTTGGTATTTTATTTGAACACACTTTATTTTTTGCTTCACTTTTTTTTCCCAAGGCATTATTTTTGTTTTATTTCAAGACAGGGTTTTGCCAAGTACCCTAGCCTGTCTTTGTGGCAATCTTCCTGCCTCAGCCTCCTTAATGCTGCCATTGCAGGTGCAAACCACCATGCCTGGCTTTTCCAAGTTTTTTTCTCCCCCCCCTTTTTCCTTTTTATTTAAATTTGAAACAAGCTTGTTTTACATGTCAGTCCCAGTTCCCTCTCCCTCCCCTTTTTCCCCCAACTCCCATCCCATCCCCTTTCCCTCTCCCTCTCCTTTTTCCCCCAACTCCCATCCCATCCCCTTTCTGCTCCCCAGGGAGGGTGAGACCTTCTGTGGGGGAATCTTCAAAGTCTGTCATATTTGGTACAGGGCCTAGGCCCTCCTGCATGTGTCTAGGCTGAGAGAGTATCCCTCTACATGGAATGGGTTCCCAAAGGCCATTCCTATACTAGGAATAAATACTGATCCACTACCAGAGACCCCATAGACTGCCCAGACGTCCTAACTAACACCCACGTTCAGGGGGTCTGGGTTGGTTCTCTGCTGGTTTCCCAGCTATTGGACTGGGGTTCATGAGCTCCCCCTTGTTCAGGTCAGCTGTTTCTGTGGGTTTCTCCAGCCTGGTCTTGACCCCTTTGTTCATCACTTCTCCATCTCTGCACCTGGATTCCAGGAGTTCGACTCAGTGTTTAGCTGTGGGTGTCCCAAGTGGTTTTTACTTATCATATTATCTGAGTCCTTGGCATTCTCTAGACTAGTCAAAATATGAGCTTCTGGAACCAGCATCCTCCTCCTAAATTCTCTGTGGCAGTGAGCAGAGGTGATTTTACTGAAAGAACAGCTATTTCATGTGTTAGAAATATACAGTTGTTAACACAGTAAAACATTCTTTACTCAGAGTAGGTGTTGGGCAACAAGTCAACTCCTTTCAAATTTATTTTATAAAATATTTGTTTTATAAAATGTGATGATACTTAGCACTTGTGACCTAGAGCCACATCTGTTGAGGGTCCACAGGTGGTAAGGACACAGTAGAACCACAGTCAACAAGTGGAAAGGTTGGGGACCAATGCCCCCTTGTGTACTTGTGGTGCAACAACAATCTAGAAGAGTTGGTAGTAGTACGTGAAGTGCATCCCAAAAGTTTCAGTGGACAACACAAGTTCAGTTTGTGCCCCTGATCCTGGACTGGTGCTCGTGCGTAGAAGGTATTTCCTGTGGTCCTGGGGCATTGCTTCTCCTGATGGAGGCAAAAGATCGTGTTCCTGCTTCCTGTCCCAGGGCTCTGACTGCTCCTCTTTTGATGCAGCACCAAATGGTTGATTGTATATGCATGCCCGCAAGCAGGAGAGTACACATTTGCCCTGTGGCAGGTCTCCTTATCCCACAGAAATGAGACATAGCAGCAGTGTAAGGTGGTGAGAACAGGAAAAGATGTGATGGGGGAACTCGGGCCACTCCCACATTCCAGTTTTCTACCCTGAGACTAATAGCCCTGTGTTTATATCAGGCCAATCATGCCTCTGTGTCAGAGGCACTGCTGGTACCTTGTCATTCTGACAGACCTGGAATATTTTACTGATTCAGAATGACACATGCATCAAAGGAGAAATTCCCAGAAGAAATTTCTGAAAACTATAGCATTGGCCAGAAGCCTAGTGTCTGGCTTCCAGTTATACTTTATGCATATCTTAATGCTGTATGGTTTTTCCAGGGGAGACAAATGTCTATTTACCCTGGGTAGGGCACCAACCACAGATCAAGGGAATCACTCCATCCAAGTCTAGAACAGCAAACCAGTGACTTTAATTAGGTGACTCACAGGAGCATGGACAACTTACAAGCAGTTATTCCATTAAGGAAGAATCTCCCCCACCAGCCACTGTTCATCACTTTGTACCCTCAGATGGGAGTGGAGGTCCCCCTGATCCCACAAGGGAAAGGTTTTTGTTTGTTTGTTTGTTTGTTTTTTGTAAAGGTCTCCGGTGGGTGGTCATAGCTGTTCTGATTTCACAGTCAGCAATGTCCAAAGCACACACATACACAATGCTGTATTATACAAACCTCCTTGCCTTTCCACAGCTGGAGTCCTCAAATCTGTGCTTAAGGTAAGTCCAGTGGATGATTAATCTGCACTTGAAAGTGCCAAGACCCTGTGCTATTAACTCATTATGAAGAATTTCATTAAAATTCGTATTTTTTGAGCCAGGCAGGGGTGGCACCCGTCTGTAATTCCAGCACTTGGGAGGCAGAGGTAGTCTGGTCTACAGATTGAGTTCCAGGACAACCAAAGCTACTCACAGAAACACTGACTAAAAAAAAAACCCAAACAATAACAATAACAAAAAAAATGGAAAACAAAATAAATTTTCTTTTTTTTTTTTTTTGAAGAAAACTCTCAGCCTTTACATTCATTATTTAAAAAGCCATGCTCCAGGCATTGGTGTCACAAGCCTTTAGTTCCAGCACTTGGGAAGCTGAAGCAGGCAGATCCTTGTGAGTTTGAGCGAGTTTCAGGACAGGTGCCAAAGCTGCACAGAGAAACACCATCTCAAACCCCCTCCCCAAAAAAGATAAAAGCCATGCTCAGCTTTTTTTTTTTAAGTTTACTAAAGGAAGCTCACAAGGTCTTGACTAGCCTGGATGACATACCAAGACCCTGCCTCAAACAAGCAAGCAAACAGGAGATAGATGCCAGTAGCAGGAGGCTGTGAAGAAAAGATTAGTGCCAACCCTTGCACCAAACAGCTAGTGTGTGGTGGGCAGAGGGTGCTGTGAGTGGCATCAGAGACACAGGCACATGGGGGAACTTGAGCTTCTGGAAATTAAATGCATCATCAGTCAGGCTTGCACTTAGGTCTATGCACCACGTACTTGCAATGTCCCTAGAGGCCAGAAGAGGATGCCCTGGGACTGGAGTTATAGGTGATTGTGAGCTGCCATGTGGGTTCAAAGAATTGAACATGTGTCTTTTGTAAGAACACCCAGTAGCCTTAGCTGCTTACCCATTTCTCCAGCCCCTTACTTGAAAGATTTATTTTTTAGTAGTATGTGTGTGTTTGTATATGGCCTAAAGAGGCCAGAAGAGGGCAGTTGATCTCCTAGAACTGGAGAGGTCCTCTGCAAAGGCAGTAAGCCTCTTAAACACTGAGCCATCTCTCCAGCCTCAGCAGGTCACACTTCAGTTAGAATTCAAAAGGCAGTACCCTGAGCGTTAAAATCTATCCCTCTTCTGCATAGATTAAGATTCTAGCTTGGTTAGGGATATATAGGGCTTGGGAATCTCATCTCATTTTCCTCACAGGGTCAGATGAGCAGGCTAGCAGGATCATAATCTTTGCCTCCCTTTTCTGACTAGCCCAAGGTGAATTTGCTACTCTGTAGGCACACAACGGACAACTTTCCTCAATTATGTCAAACGAAGCCCCTCACAATTTCGAGGGGCACATGGGAAAAAAATGTTGAACTATGAAATAAGAGTTTGTAACCTCAGAGAGAGTCTTGGCTTGACACTGAAAAATGGATACCATTTAGAGAGGAAGAGGAGGATTTTTGTTCAAGTCAAATGGTTAAGATCATTGCTTTGGAGCCATAGGGACAAGACCCCACCACCATTCCAAACCCCGCCCTTCTCAGAAAGCCCAGCAAGCAGCGTCTCCTCCCCCAGCTGCTCAAGACCGGATATATAGGGTATTTAAGCTCTGGTCCCTAGACCTGCCATGTGATTTCTCCTCCTTCCTTCCTTCCCTCCCTTCCTTCACTTCTGGGGGACTTTAGAGTCACCCGGGGGTGCTTTCCTTATAAACCTGAACTTTTAATTCAGCTTGCTCTGGTTTATTGTGTCGGCAAAGAGACCCACTACCAGGGATTCAAAAATACTTATCACCCACCGCACTCCAACACCACCATATTCCAGCTCTATAGACCTTATAGGCAAGTCCTAACTTCATTGAGTGTCAAAGTCCCAATTACAAAGGTTGAAATAATAGCCCCCTTGGATGGGTTCACATCAGGATTCACTGAAATAATGGACATAAAATATGTAAAGTAGAGCATAATAACTATTACTTGTAGTGGCTGAAAAAACGATAATGTGTTTGTTGTGCCATCGTCTGATGACATGTATTTTGTTCTCAAATGAGGACTTTCTGGTCATGGTGGTGTGCAGGGGGGCAGGTTAGGGGGACCAAAGAGATTACTCAATGGTTAAGAGAACTTACTGTGAGCTAGAGACCACCCTGTGGATAAGAGCATTTGTTCCTAAGTGGACCTGGATTGGAGTCCCAGATCCCACATAGGCGCTCAAAACCATCTAATCTAACAAGCACATGCAGGCAAAACATTCACAGACAGTTTTTTAAAGCACTTGCTGCTGTGGCAAAAGTCGAGTTCCCAGCATGCACATGGTACACACACACACACACACACACACACACACACACACACACAGAGTTCGGTTTTCAACACCCATATGGTAGTTACACGCACACACATAATTAAAAATAAAATGTAAAGTTTTAAAAAGATTTAAAAGTTTCTTTTAAATGGTTGTTTTATGTGTACGTGTGTGTGTGTGTGTGTGTGTGTGTGTGTGTGTGTGTGTGTGTGCAATGCTCTTTAAATTTCTTCCTCAGTACTGCTAACTCGCTTGGCTCCAGCCGCCAATGCGGCAGGCCCCGCCTCGTCCTCTGCGTGTGACTGGACCCTTCGGCCATATGCCCCGCCCCTGATTGCGCATGCGCGTGGTGGGCCGCTGGGTTGAGGTGATGCTCTTGTTTCGGCGCTGCTGGGGTCCGCGGGCGGCGGGAAGGCGTTCTTGCTGTTCGTGTCAGTCACCGGCCCGGCTCGGCGGAACCTCCGGCGGGACGGACAGCCGAGGCTCCCGAGTCCGCGAGAAGCCGCCCTGGAGGGTGCTGTTCCTTGGCACCGACCACTTTGCGAGGGAGACGCTGCGGGCTCTGCACGCCGCCAGGTACCGGGCCGGGGCGGGGTCGCAACGCCAAGAGGCGGCGGTGACCCCAGGACAGCGAGGGTCGCGGGGTCCCGGAAGGCGGGCCGTGGGGGTCAGGCCCGCGGAGCTCCGCAGCACCGGCGAGCAGGCCCTCCACCTCCTGCGTGTGGGATCCCCGCCTCGGAGAGGCCCCGCCGGTGCCTAAGGCCGTGAGCAGGGCTGCCTAGCCAAAATGGGCTGTGACTCCAAAGTTCGTCCCTTCCTTCCTCCCCGCTGTTGCTGTGCTCCAGCTGGTGGCCTCCAGTTCCTTGCCCTTCCGCATGCCCGTACTTTTTAGGCCTCCAAACGAACCATTTTCAAATGAATACACTTCTAATAAGAAAGTTCCATATACGTGTAGTATTCATGAGATTTAACAAACAGTGTCTATTAGGGAGAACGTTACTTGTAATTCAGCCTTTCCTAAAAGTCTGATGTGTCCACCGCTCCCCTTACCCCCAGCTTAAGGTTATTTGGTTATTTAGCATTCCCTTGTTGCCTGGCGCCTTCCCTCCCCCGGTTCTGTCACCTTCATCTCTGCCTCCCTACAAATACCTGTTTTTTTGTTTTTTTTAAAGTAAAGTTCGTTCTTAAAATTTATTTGTGTGTGTGTGAGAGAGAGAGAGCATGTATTTGCTGGTGCCTCTGGAGGCTGGAAGAGGGTGTCCCTGGAGCTGGAGTGACAGGCAATTGGGTGCTATGAGTCGAGAACTGACTCCTGCAAGTTATTTATCCTCTTGCTTCCAAACACATATAACGCACATATAACATGTACACAATAATAATAATAATAAAGTTTCTTTTTCATTATTTATTTTTATGTACATTGGTGTTTTGCTATGGGTGTTGGGTCCCCTGAAACTGGAGTTAGAGACAGATGTGAGCTGCCATGTGGGTGCTGGGAATTGAACCCAGGTCCTCTGGAAGAGCAGTCAGTGCTTTTAACCACTGAGCCATCTCTCCAGACCCATAAAGTTTTGTTTTGTTTTGTTTTAATTAAACGAAAATCCCTATTTGGTGGCTGTGCTAGTTTTAACTATTTTAGCCCTAAATGTGTTGTGAGTTTAATTATAAAAATAGCTTTTCTCTGTGTGAAGTAGTTTAGCTTTGAGATGCTCAACACTTGCATTTTTCTCTAATCTTTCTAATCAGAGACAACAAAGAGGAAAAGTTAATTGAAAGCCTGGAGGTTGTCACAGTGCCTTCACCGTCCCCCAAAGGACTACCTGTGAAGCAGTATGCTGTACAGTCCCAGCTCCCGGTGTACGAGTGGCCTCACATGGGATCCGGAGAATATGATGTTGGCGTAGTGGCTTCCTTTGGCCGACTTTTGAGTGAGGCTTTTATTCTTAAATTTCCCTAGTAAGTTTTATTTATAAGGAAATACAGTGTAGAGATCACAGCTCTGTGAATGGATCTAGTACCAAAAATACCATAATTTAAACTGCTTTCTTTTTTTCTCTTACTACTTTTTCCAGACAGGTTTCACTCTATGTAGCTCTGGCTGTTCTGGAACTCACTATGTAGACTAGGCTGGCCGCAAACCCACAGGGATCTGCCTGCTTCTGTCCCCCCCCCCCCCAAGCCCTAAGATTAAAAGTGTAAGCCACCAGGTCCAGGTTAAAGTGTGTTTTCTCTGTCTTCTTTTAAAATACGATTTTATTTTTGGCACAAAATGTCAGATGTGTTAAACTTGTTACTCTTCGGCTTTCATCTGCCCGCATTTAAGTTTCGTGTATATGCTAATGACCCCACTCAACTCTTGCTAAACTCCAGGTTCACTTTGTCCACAGCTCAGCTTTTATGTCTCCTAGGCTTCTCTTACTGAAGAGGCTCAACACCTCTGCGGATCTTTATCTTAAGGAATATCAACCCCAGCCTTCTGGTTGTTTGGGCCCCAAACCCTGGAGTCATTTCTTCAGTTACCTTGTGTCCCACACCTAGTCGACTAGCATTCTGAAGCCCTCATGGCCATGCCTTCAAAACCTAGAAAATTCTGATGGATCTCATCAACTGCATTGCTTTACTCTTGCCCGTGTGACTGCAGCCACCTCCTAGCTGGTCCCTGCTTTTGTCTTTGGCCCTGTCAGTGCTTGGCCAACCTGGCCAACCCAGCAACACAGTGGTCCCTGTAAAGGATCTATCACGCCCTGTCGGTGTGCTCAGGCTCCTCTGTCAGCCTGCAGTCTCAAAGCCCTGTGTCAGCCAGTCCATTAGAAACCTCCATTGATCCTTTGTGGATGCTGTGTCTTCTCGAGATTCATTCTACACCAGCTAGACTTGCCATATCATGCCTTGAATGTGGTGAGCATTTTCTTTCTTTAAGATCTCTGGCCCAGCACACACCTTTGCCCCCAGCACTTGGGAGGCAGAGGCAGTTGAGCCTGGTCTATGGAGTGAGTTCTTGGACAGCCAGGGCTACTCAGAGAAACACTGTCTCAGAAAAACAAAAACACTGTTCATGCCAGGCATGTATACACCCCTGAACTTGGCACATATTTTCTTCCCCCAAGATCTTTGTACATGTCATGCATGTGTACACTCATCAGGAGTCAGCAGCTGAAATGGCATTTCAGTCAACAGTAGATGGTATACAAGATGCTACTTCATATGATTGTATGGCCTATGAAGTGATAACTATCTGAATGTGTGTAAATTACACTCTCAACTGCATGCTTAAATAGGGATATTTCCTGATGGCATGTATCTTATAATGTATCCCTTCTTTGTTTGTTTGTTCCCCCTCCCCCCACAAGGTTTCTCTGTGTAACAGCCCTGGCTGTCCTGGAAGTCACTCTGTAGACCAGGCTGCTCTTGAACTCACAGAGGTCCACCTGCCTCTGCCTCCCAAGTGCTAGGATTAAAGGTGTGTACCACCACTGCCTAGCAGTTTTTTTTTTTAATTAGAAAAATTTTGCAGAGATATCTGTATTTTATTTTACAATGTATATGAGTGCATGTATATCTTCATTCCAGAAGAGAGCACCAGACCCCATGTGGTTGCTGGGAATTGAACTCAGGACCTCTGGAAGAGCAGCCAGTGCTCCCAACCTCTGAAACATCTCACCAGCCCTTTTTTTTCATGTGTATGATTGTTTCGCTTGTATAGCTATGTGTACCATGTGTGTGCCTGGTGTCCAGGGAGGTGAGAAGAGTCTCTGGAAGTGGAGTTGTGGATGATTGTGAACCACTGTCAGGAGTGCTGGGAGCTGTAATTTTGGTCTTCTCAACAGATGTTCTTTTTCTCTTTTCTTTTTTTTATTAATTTGTTTTTTACATTTCAATCCCAGTTCCTCCTCCCTCGTCTCCTTCCACTACCTTCCCCCCCCCCCAACCTCCCTCCTTGGAGAGGGTAAGGCTTCTCCTAGGAAGTCTACTAAATCTGTCCCATCATCTCATTGAGATAGGACCAAGGCACCTCTCCACCCACACACATATACCCCCGTGTCTAGGCTGAGCAAGTTATCTCTCTATAAGTCAGTTTGTGCATTAGAGTTAGATCTTGGACCTACTGCCAGTGGCCTCATATATATTGTCCCAGCCAGACTGGTGACACCTATATTAAGGTGTTCCTAACCAGTCAGGTATCTCTTCAGCCTTTACTTGTTTTTAATTAAGTTTCATTGACTGCTTATGGTGAGAGTGAACTTATCTCTGACTTTGTTTAAGTGATACAAACCTCAAGGTCCTGTGGTTTTATCCCTACAGGTTATATAGTTTAGGCGATACAAGCTGTTAGGTGTTTTGGGGATGATGATTGTTTTGAAATAGGGTCTCAATCTGTGGCACAGGGTGGCCTGGAACTCACAGCAGTTCTGCTGCCTCAGCTTTCCAAGTGTTAGGATTACTACTTGCCACCACACCAGGCTTTTGGAAAGCTTAATGATAAAGGTGCATGTTAATTTGGTAGCAATAACTAATTCTCATACTGATTTCTCTCTTTTCTAACTCAGTGGCATATTGAATGTACACCCCAGTTGCCTCCCAAGGTGGCGTGGTCCCGCTCCAATAGTCCATACAGTGCTTCATGGAGACACAATTACAGGCGTAACAATTATGCAAATCAGACCCAAAAGGTAGAGCTTATTAACTTAAATTTTTGTTGTCAGTCTGTCTGGGGCCTTGGTGGTTGGGGGAATGGTTGGAGGGTGTTAACTTGGTTAATTTCCCAGTGTTATCCTTTGCTTTTGTAATTGCTCTGAGCATTTCTAACTTCTAACATAAGCTGTATGTCTTTGAGATTTATACAGAGTCTTTTAAAGTCCTTGTAAATTGGTCATTGGAATTATTAACACCTGGATACCTGGAATTTTTTCTTTTTGATTTATATTTTCTTCATTTTCTTTTTTATTTATTTGTTTATTTATTTTGGTTTTTCAAGACAGGGTTTCTCTGTATTGCTTTGAAGCCTGTCCTGGAACTAGCTCTGTAGACCAGGCTGGCCTCAAACTCAGAGAGATCCACTTGCATCTGCCTCCCAAATGCGAGGATTAGGAGTATATGCAACTACACTCGCTTGACCTTACTTTTGAGGCAGTGTCTCATATATTCCAGGGTAACCTCAAACTGGAATGGTTGACTGTTAGATTAGTAGCCTGCAATAAGCTGTCTTTGTGCTATGTAGAAAATTGTATTGATCTTAACAAATAATGTTGACTGCTTTGGGATTTTTGGTTTTTTGTTTTTATTTTTCTTGCTAGGTTTGATATAGGCCCAATTCTCAAGCAGGAAACCATCCCTGTGCCTCCCAAGAGCACATCAAAGGAATTGGAAGCAGTGTTGTCAAGACTCGGTGCCAACATGGTACAGTTCCCCTACTCCACCCCAGCTTTTCTTCATTTAGAAGGCTTCTTAAGCGATATGAGGGAAAAATAATCTTATGCTTTGCAATTTTTAAGCTTCATTGATGGTAGGGAGGGGACATGGCAGTGGGATTGCTTAGCAGGTAAAGGTGTGTTCCACCATGCCTGATGACCTGAGTTCAGTCTCCAGGACCCACCTGGTGGAAGGAGGGAACTGAGTTCTGAAAGTCCTGTGACATTCACATGGTTTGTGCACATGCTATAAATAAGTAAAATGACATGAGAGAGATCAGGACTGAGATTGGGCCCAAACATGGTTATATTCACCTGTAATCTCACACTCAGGAGGCTGAGGCCAGAGAATCATGAGATCCAGGTCAGCCTGGGTAATGAGCCTTAACAACCAGCAGAGTGGCTCCTGTCCCTTGTTTCCTAGAAGTGAGCTCAGTATTTGTGACCATTGAGGGTTGCAGAGTTGGTGCTTAATAAAAGCTTTCAAACAAAACAGGTGACCTCCAGTGGTCCTCCATTTCATATGAGGTGCCCTCTCTCTATCCTCTTACACACCCCTGGCCTGTTTCTCTCACACAGCTAGCAGCCACACCCTAGGAACCTGTACATTTCCCAGCTGTATGCATAGTACTTCCTATTCTGGGCATTCTTCAGAAGTGACTTTTTACGGTGGCTGCCATTATTCAAGACTGTTCTAGGTACTCTGAGTTTTCTTTTGCACCCTCCCAACAACCTGTGAGGTAATTGTTGCTGTCACTCATTTCACAAACACAACATTGAGAGGTACAGGCAAGTCAAAGGACTTTTCCAAAATGAGAACACCAGTAAGTGATGGGGATAGGATTGGAAATGGTCCTGTGAGGCCCTGAGCCTTGAGTGGGGTGAGAGTGTTAGCAGCTCGGAGTAGCCACCCATCAGTACACGTCCTTACAGGTGAGGTCAGTTTGCCACCAGCTCCTTTGCTGGGACAAGTTACTTCATTGCACTGAACTGTGATGTTTCTGCCTTGTTCTGTTGAATATACTCTGCACTCTCCATTTTTGTATTTGTAGCTTATTTCAGTTTTGAAAAGTTTGCCTGAAAGTCTGGACAACGGAAGGCCACAGCCAGCTGAGGGAGTGACCTATGGTGAGTGAAAGCCACAGGCATTCTGACCTCTTGTAAAGATTTCATTTGCCAGGGTGGCAGCTGAAGGCTCTGGCTTCTTCGATGTCTTGTGTATGCTTTCCCAGACAGTGGTTGGGAAGCTGTCCCCCTTAACCTATAGTTTCATCCTCAGCCTTTCCCCCAACTTTTTATTTTGAGAAGTATTTAGCACCTGATTGCTCCACATCTTTCTGTGGGAAATCTATATTTAATATATGTATTTTAAATTCTGATTGCTCATTTGCAAGTATAAATGATGAAGTTCATTTACAATTTCATTAGCATGCACTTCTTGGAGAGCTGACTCAGTGGTTAAGAGCACTGGCTGCTCTTATAGAGGATGCAGATTAGATACCCAGAACCAATATGGCAGCTCACAACCATCTGTAATGCTAGGACCAGAATATCCGATGTCCTTTTCTGGCCTGTTTGGGCACTACATGGATGTGATATACAAAGAGACATATGTGCAAGCAAAATATCCATATGTGTAAGAATGAAAATAAGAATTTTTCATCCTAAAAAAAGGCATTGAAGCCGGGCGTCGGTGGCACATGCCTTTAATCCCAGCACTCAGGGGGCAAAGGCAGGCAGATCTCTGTGAGTTCGAGGCCAGCCTGGTCTACAGAGCAGCCTCCAAAGCTACACAGAGAAACCTTTTCTCGAAACAACAACAACAACAACAAAAAAGTCATTGAACATGTCCTGGTAATTTTCAATATCCAGTCCATACAGGTTTTCCTAAATATCCAAAAATCCATTTTATATCTGTTTAAAAAAACAAAACAAAACAAAAAACCCCACAGCCCACAGCCAGGTGGCAATGACATATGCCTTTAGTCTCTGTGAGTTCAAGGCTAGCCTGGTCTACAAAGCTAGTTCCAGGACAGATAGGGCTGTTATACAGAAATGCTGTCTCAAAAAACCAAAGGAACTAGGATCCAAGGAATACATTTTTTTTTAAAGATTTATTTATTTATTATGTTTACAGAATTACTACATGTATCCCTGCACACCAGAAGAGGGCACCAGATCTCATTGCACATGTCTGTGAACCACCATGTGGTTGCTGGGAATTGAACTGGGGGGGACTTCTGTAAGAACAGTCACTGCTCTTAACCTCTGAGCCATCTCTCCAGCTCCAAAGGGACACATTTTCAAGACTGCTTGAATCTTTGGTTTTTGCTAGTATAATCCTAATTAGTCACCAAAAAAAAATGTAAAATTTTTGGTGTGTTTTGAGGATTTTTTTGTTTTGAGACAGTGTCTTGCCCAGGATAGCTTAGAAATCACATCCATCCTTCTGCCTCAGCCTCCCAAATGCTGGAATTACAAGCATGTACCACCAAGTAGTTTGCTCATATTTTAGTACGTGTTAGGTCTGCTTACTTTTACTTCATATCATAGCAAGTTGTAGCCATGTGCCCAAGTTGAATATCCTCATCTGCTTGTAATTCAGCTTCACTCCTCAGTTGGTGAACATGGGGCCCTGTTCATTCTTGCTCTTGTCTGATCTCTCAGCCCCTAAGGTTTCTGCTGGTACCAGCTGTGTCAAGTGGGAGGAGCAAACCTCAGAGCAAGTGCTCAGACTTCACCTCGCCATTGGGGATATAGTGAGTTGAAAAGTTGGATTGTGTTTTTACCATATTGTTTCCTTTCTGGGTATTTTATTTACAAATGAGCCTTATAAACTAAACCTAGGAAATTTTCTTAAATTTTAAGTTTTGATAGAGGCCATAATATTCATAAAGTGCTTTCAACGGTACATTCTGCAGTATTTCCTAACCAGGTTTGATTATCCACTGTCATAGAGATGGAAAATAAAAACAAGATAAGTAACTTTGGTGTGACCAGTCAGTAAGCAATGAGTCTTAAGTCTTCTAACTCTATCTAGTATATCTTTCTGCTTCTGGTCAGTATTAATTTTTGCAGGAGAGGGCAGTGTTTTGTTTTGGAGGGGTTTGTTGTTGTTTTGGGTTTTTTTTTTTTTTTTTTTTTTTTTTTTTTTTTTTGAGACAGGGTTTTTCTGTGTAATAGCTAGCTCCAAAAGATTTTTTCTTTAAAATTATGTGTATATGTGTGTTTGGTGTAGGGCATATTTACGTGTTCAGGGTAGGGCATGTTTGTGTGTGTGTGTGTATGATTACCTTACCTATGGAACCAGAAAAGGGCATCAGATCTCTCTAGAGCTATAGTTACAGGTGATTGTGAGCCACCAGTGTGGATGCTAGGAACTGAGCTTGGATCTTCTGCAACAGTAGCATTTGCTAACATAATTTTTTTTTTATTGCTTCTTTGGGAATTTCACATCATGCACCCCAATCCCACTCATTTCCCTGTCCTTCCATGGCCCCCCTCAACCCTTGTAGCCTCCCCTACAAAAAATAAAAAAGCGAAAACAACAATAATAATAATAAAAGGAAAAAGAAAAACACTTTTCTCCTCCATCTTGCTCTTCTCTCCATCACATACTCATTTGTCATTGTGGCCTTGGGAGCTGCCATATATCAAGCAGTATACTCTTTTGCCTAAGCAACTTTACTTACAACAACTTTGAGTTGTTGGTCTGGTTCAAGTTCTGTGGCTTCTGCTACACTATCAAACTGTACCCTTACTAAAACTCCTCTCAGCTATCCTGAGTCATGGAGGAGCAGCACTTGCTCTTAACCACTAAGTCATCTTCAGCCCCAGATTTATCTGGAGATCAGGTCTCATTCTGTGATCCAGACTGACTTGGAACTCACGGTGTCGCCCACATTGTCCTCACATTCAGGCAGTCTCCTGCATTAACCTTCTGAGTGCGGGGTTACAGATATGAGCCAATACCTTCCTTCCTCCCTCCCTCCCTCCCTCCCTCCCTCCCTCCCTCCCTCCCTCCCTCCCTCCCTCCCTTCCTCCCTCCCTCCCTTCCTTCCTCTCTCCCTCCCTTCCTCCCTCCCTTCCTCCCTCCCTTCCTTCCTTCCTTCATTCCTTCCTTTTTCCCTCTTTTCTCTCCCCTCTTTTCCCCTCCCCTCGCCTTTCCCCATTTTTTTGAGATTGTTTAACTCTGTAACCCAGACTGATCACTGTTCCCACACATACACATAATGTTTTAAAAATTCAGGATCAATGTGCAGCCTGAAAATAGTGAACTCGAAGAAACTGAGAGAAATCATTTCCAGTTACGTTGATTTTTTTTTTTTATCACACTAACAATTTGTTGTGTTAGTTTATATTGTAAATGTGTTAAAGCAGCAAAGACTGCATTTCATGTTAGGGGGAAGTGGGTTAACCAGTAAGCAGTATACTACCGGGGTACCTGGACAGCCCTTTTCTCTCTCTCTTTTGAAAAGATTTATTTCATTTCTTTATGTGTGTACTTGTGTATCTGAGTGTATGAGCATGTGTGTGTGTGCAGGTGCACATGCTCATGTATGACAGGAACCAGGAGAGGCCATGTGATGCTTCAGAGCTGGAGTCACAGTGGCTTCTTTGATTTCAGCTTGTGTGGGTATACATATGAACGCTTGTTCTGGGGTATGAACTCCCGTCTTCATGATTACACAGCAAGCTGTCTTAACCACTGGGCCATCTCCCTAGTCTCAGATGAAGGCCCAGTGACTCTACCTTTACTTTATTTTATTTCATTTTATGCATGTGGGCATTTTGCCTGAATACACACCTTTGTATCGTATGTGTCCTGGTGCTCTTGGAGGCTAGAAAGTGGCATTGGATATCCTAGGATTGGAGTTATAGACAGTTAAGAGCTACCATGTGGGTTCTGGGAATTGAACCCAGGACCTCTGGAAGAGCAGCCAGTGTTCTTTATTGCTGAGCCTTCTGTCCATTCTACATCTTTATATCAAACTGCTAAGCTAGGGTGGTGGCACATGGCTTTAATCCCAGCCCTTGGGAGGCAGAGGCAAACAGATCTCTGTGAGTTCGAGGCCAGCCTGGTCTACAGAATGAGTTCCAGGACATCCAGAGCCATTACACAGAAAAACCCTGCCCTGAAAAATTAAAAAAAAAAAAAAAAAGTTTTTAAAGGTGTCTTTACAAAGCTGTCTATTTATTGTGTGTGTGTGTGTGTGTGTGTGTGTGTGTGTGTGTGTCATGGCATGCATGTGTTGGTCAGAGCAGAGCACAACTTTCAGACATTGATTCTCTCATATCATGTGTGGCCGTCAGATAGGACTCAGGCCATCTGGCTTAATAGCAAATGTCTTCACCTACTGAGACAGCCACACAAAGCTGTTTATTAACAGTTTAGAACCTAGCAGCAAGAAACTACTGCCTGATAAATTGAGAAATTGGAAATACATGTCCTTTATAAAGTTATTATTGTATCAACTGTGATAAGTTTATAAGATAGGGTGCTGTGCACAGACAGCGAGTGGTGAAGGAGACACACAGGCACTGGCAAAGCCATGCTCTTGATCTTTGTACTAATAACACTGGGTGTGAGGAGAATATAGGGGCATGCATATCAAGCTTTCAACTGGCTTCCTCTGGTGGTGAAAATGTAAAGTACGATCACTTTCTATAATTTTAACACAAATGCTTTTATTCTTGTTTTCATGCTGGGCATAAATGTTTAATTGGAAATATTAAGGCCACTTATATAAAACTTAAGATCTTGTACATACTGCAGAGATGATTCAGAGGATCATGTTCAGGCTCTGTTTCAACACATTTAGTGACTGAGTGTCCAGTTCTTCTGGACATGGTAGAAAAGTCAGTGGATTAATATGCAGCAATGTCAGAAAGGACTTGGGACTCAAATGGATTCCTTCATGAATCCTCCCATTCCAATTGCAGGTCCCATTGCAGACACTCTGGTTGGAGAACACCATTAAACTTCTTGATCTAGTAGAAGTTAACAACTCCATCATTGCAGGTACTAACTTTCGAATAGATGACAAGTTTTTTTCACTATAGTCCATTTAAAAATATGTCAGGTCTGCCCCCCTCCACCCGTATTTCTAATTTTCCCACAGTGCAGTAATGATAACACCTCCTTCAAAGTGTCCATTCATGTGTATTTTCTCATGCAATCATCACATGAACCCAGGAAGTTGGCAGGCAATGTTGCTCTCTTACTTAAGTTCTGTCTTTTTGCATCAAGGTTGGAGGGCTGTGGAATGACTTAGTTGATTTCATGCTGGTGAATATCATAACAAAACTGTATGGACAGTGCAATGAGAGCACAGCATTGCACCCTACAGTTCTGTCTGAAGTCCCTCAGCATCCTCTAGATAGGAAGAGCTGGAATGTGGGCTGCAGGGGATGCTATTCCAGCCCAGAGGCAGTGGGAAGTCCCAGGAATAGGGACTCATTTGTCTTAAACATCTTGTGAGTTGCTCTGATGCAGGGCAGTTAATTGACAGATTTGACATTGAAGGTGATCCCTGGGAGATGGAGCAAAGGACTATGACTTATCATGTGTGTGGAACACTTCCTTTGGGTCCATACTATAGCCAGAGCACCTAGCTCTAGGAGGTTTTGTTTTGCAGAATTGGGGCCTCAGTGTATCCCTTCCATCATTAGTTCTGCCTTTGAAGATTATTTTTTGTTCATTTTTAAAAATTTTATTTATTGGTGCCGGAGATGGAACCCAGGGTCTTGCAAGTGCCATATCTGTTGTATTCCACCACCAAGATGTTTTGATTTTTAAGAAGTACCATGATTTATTTCTGTTTCTTTTGTGTGTCATTTCTCCCCCATCCCCACCCCATCAGATTACAAATTAAAAGGACAAACTGTGACTCCGGGGTCAGTGGTGTACCATAGACCATCTCAGATGCTGTTGGTTCATTGCAAGGTAAGTTGACTTCAGCTTCAAGTTATTATGGTTGTTTTACTGAATTTGCAATTGTATTTTTGTTTACCCTTGAGATGAGGTCTCACTAAGTAGCCTAGGCCAGCCTTGAACTCACTGTGTAGCTCAACTTGCCCTAAAACTGACCCACTTGCCTCCTGAGTGTTGGAACTGCAGGTATGTACCACTCACCAGGTTTCCATTTACCACTTTGGTGGTTTGAATGGGATTGGCCCCCATGAGCTCATATGTTTGAATCCTTGGAACTCTTTGAAAGGATTAGAGGGATTAGGAGGGGTGGCCCTGTTTGAGGAAGTCTGTGTCAGCTACTTTTACATCACCAAGAGTTAAATTAAATGCTTTAAGAGTTGCATTGGTCAGCTGGGCAATAGTGGTATATGCCTTTAATTCCAGCACTTGGGAGGCAGAGGCAGGCAGAACTCAGTGAGTTTGAAGCCAGCCTGGTCTACAGAGGGAGTGCCAGGATAGGCTCCAAAGCTACACAGAGAAACCCTGTCCTGGAAAAGAAAAAAAAACGAAAAACACAACCAAGAGTTGCATTGGTCATAGTGTCTCCTCACGACAATGATTCAGAAACCATTTTCATTAAGATTGTACTTAATTAATGGGTAAACAGATTAAGCTAATAGACAGTTTACTTAAACAGTGGAATCTCTAACATAAATTTTGAAAGAGTGCAGGTGCCCACAGAGACCAGAGGTATTGAATTCCCCCTAGAGCTGGAGTTACAGGCAGTGAGCTGCCTAATAGCGGGTGCTGAGAATCAAAGTTGGTCCTCTAGAAGAGCAGTGCCCACTCTTAACTGCTGAGCCAGCTCTTGGGCCTTGGTTTATTATGATTTAATAACTATTCACAGTAAGATATGTGGACCTACTCATAAAACTAAAGCACCTATGTTGAAATAGGTCAGGGCATTACGTGTCATTCAGTACAATGTTCTTTTCGGTTAGTAAAAGCAATTGTTTCTATTACTTTTTTTTTTTTTTTTTTTTTTTTTTTTTTTTACGACTGGGTCTCACTATGTAGCCCTGGCTTACCTCAAACTCAGAGATCCACTTAGCCTTAGCCTGCCTGTTTCCCCAGTTCTGGGATTAAAGGCTATGCCACCATGCCTGGTACATTTTATAAAGTACAGTTTATTTCATTTTCAAGTTCTGTCCCTACTGTCTGGTTACTGTCTGTCCTTTGCCCTTTAGGATGGCTGGATCGGTGTTCGTTCAGTAATGCTTAAGAAAACACTAACAGCTACTGATTTCTACAATGGATATTTGCATGCATGGTACCAGAAGAATCCCCACGCTCACCTAAGCCAATGCAGATTTCAGACTCTCAGACTTCCAATGAAGATGCCTCAGAAAACCAAGTTGTTGCTATGCAACAGTGCATTAAGTAGGTAGGAAGAAGACGGACAAGGACCTATTACACATTTGTAATTTATTAAAAGCTTTATTACAAGCAACTGACTTTGAAAGTTGACACTATTGGAGAAAGGGAAAATGGTTATCAAGATGGTGGAAGTCTCGAGCTCTCCATTTTTTGTGTGTAACAGTTAAGAGCAGCCTTTTCTAGGTGAATAACAAAAGAAGTTTAATAAAATTTGCATTTATAATGTTCATCTTAAAGGAGATTGTGTCTTTTGAAGAGCAAAGCAACCAAATAGTAGGCATATATTCGAAAAGGTTGCTTTAAAAATGGTGTGTGTAGCCAGCAGTGGAGGTGCACACCTTTGAACCCAGCACTCAGGAGACAGAGGCAGGTGGATCTCTGTGAGTTTGAGGCCAACCCAATTTACACAGTAAATTCAAGGACAGCCAGGGCTACACAGAGAAACCCTGTCTTAAACAAAATGAACAAATGGTGGGTCTAAGGACTGGTGGGGGGGGTGTCTAGCTAAGTAAAGCACCTGCTAACTCTGTGTGAAGTTCGTGGTTTGATCCCCAGCACCACATAAACCATATAGTGATGCATGCCTGCAGTCCCAGCATTCAGGAAGTGGAAACAGAGATCAGAATCATCCTCATCAACATAGCAAGTTCTGCAAGACATTCATTCCTCTTTGGATTTTTATCATTGCTGGAAAAAAGTTTGCTTTACCTCAGACTTAAAACTGAACTCAGGCTTGGCACGTAGCTCAATTGGTAGAGCTCAGTGCACATGGCATTGGCTCCATCTCCAGTACCACACAAAGAGGGCATGGTGGTTCACGCCTGTAATCCCAGTACTTGGAAGATGAAGGCAGAAGGATTGGAAATTCAAAGCCATCACTACAAAGCATGTTTGATGCCTGGTTGGGATTCATGTAAACTTGTCTAAAAACAAAACTAGTTCCTCATTTTGAGGTTGAAAGGTATTTTGGTTATATAGCAAATTTGAAACCAGCCTGGGCTACATCAGAGACTGACTTAAAAAAAAAAAACAAAAAAAAACCCTTGGGGTTTTGGATTTAGCTTTGTGGTAGAGTGCTTGACGGAAAGCATAAGCCCTGGGTTTGGTTCTCTGCTTGGTGGGGGAATCTTTAATGTTTCCCAAATTTATAATATTCTGATCTTAGAATTAGAACAGAGATTTAATGCAAACAAAACAATTTTACAACAAAAGAGATCAGACTTGTAGAATGTCTAAGAATAGAATCAGAAGGGGTGTCTGTGTGTCTGTCTGTGTCTCTCATTTCCTCTCCTCCCCACCCCGTGTGTGTGTGTGTGTGTGTGTGTGTGTGTGTGTGTGTGTCTGTGTCTGTGTCTGTCTGTCTGTCTTGTCATCAGCTGATCTATAGCCTCAGCCCAAATCAGGTGTCTTAATTCACAGATGGCAACTCATAAATTATTAATCACAAATAACTGCATCTTCAATATTCTGCCTGATGGGGCCTTTAATCACAAATTAAAAAGTAGTCATGTCAACATATTTCTTGGGCAATTCTATAGTACCTCTCTACTGTCTGGTCCCTATAATCCACTGCACTCTGACAGACTGTCTAGCAGTGGGGAAACAGCACTGTTTGGTGTGTTAGCACTGCAGTCAGTATCCTGGAGAGCTGTAAAAGGATGGTGGTCCTCAAGGCTGATGTGGAGATGGCTCTGTGTATAGCGATTTCATGAGCATGAGGACCTGAGATCAGATTTCCAGCAGCCATGCAGAAAGTTGGTACTCCTCTTATCCTGGCAATTAGGAGATAAACCCAGGAAGATCCTGGGGGCTCACTGGCCAGCCAGGTAATTGGTGAGCTCCAGGTTCATTGAGAAACTGTCATAAAACATAAGGTGGGATGTAGTAGAGGGAGATACCTGACATTGATCAATTGCTTCTACATGCACACCCACTAATACACTCATCCATACACATGCACGTATCATACAGGATAGTATTCAAGCTGGGTGTGATGACATGTTATGGTAAACCCAGCACTCAGGAGGCTGTAGCAGGAAGAGCTCACATTTGAATCCAAGGCCAGCCTGGGCTACATTGTGAGATCATGTTTCAAAACAAAGAGGTGCTATTTCAAGACTCAGTATTGAAAAATAAAAATAAATAAAAGTCCAGCCACTTCTTCATAAATGTATGGTTTCTGAAAATACTCAAATGGGTTCAATAAAGGAAGACAATCTAGTTTGAAGGCCAAGTACATAAAAACATCTAAAGTACTGAGACAGATGGGGGGCGGGGCCCTTCAGGTAGCTGCTATGGCTATACCACATTGGGCTCACAGAGAGCTGAGTGGAGACCCAGACCTGCTCAAGGCTTCATATTAGATATCTTGAAGGTAATAGGGAACTATGGAAGGTCTTAGAGCAGACTATAGTTTGTTTTGATTTTTTTTCTTAAAGATTTATTTAATTATTTTGTATACAGTGTTCTGTCTGCATGTAACCCTGCAGGCCAGAAGAGGGCACAAGATTTCATTACAGATGGTTGTGAGCCACTATGTGGTTGCTGGGACCTCTGGGGGACCAACAAGTGTTCTTAACTGCTGAGCCATCTCTGTAGCCCCCAGACTATAGTTCTTAATATAATTATTTTATGTTATTCACAAGTAGTATATGAATAGGTTTTTAAATTTTTAATCTTATGTGTATGCATGTGCCTTAGTGTATGTATGTCTGTGCACCATAGGCATGCAGTGCCAACAGAGGCCAGGAGAAGATATTGGATCTCTTGGAACTGTAGGTAGAGGTGGTTGTGAGCCATTATGTGGGTGCTGGGGATTGAATCTAGGTCCTCTGAAAGAGTAACCAGTGTTCTTAACCACTGAGCCATCTCCAGCCTCATGAGTAGATTTTTATATAAGCTCATACATTACGGTATGAGTATTATTTTAAGGTGTGTGACTTTTGTTTATGCTGCATTTGTTTAACTCTGTAAAGCTGTGTTACTGTGCCTGTCTAAAACACCTGGTGGGCCTAATAAAGAGTTGAATGGCCAATAGCCAGGCAGCAGAGAGGATAGGAGGGGCTGGCAAATAAGAGTATAAATAGGAAGAGAAATAAGGAGAAGAGAGACCAAAGAGAGGAGGGCTTCAGCAGCCAGCCAGCCATGGAGTAAAAGGAAAGAAAGATACAGAAGTAAGAAAGGTAAAGTCCAGAGGAAAAAGACAAATGGAATAATTGTAAGTTAAGAAAAGCTGGCAAGAAACAAGCCAAGTTAAGGCTGGGCATTCTTAACTAAGAATAAGTCTCTGTATATTTATTTAGGATCTGTGTGTCATGCCTGTCCAAGTAAAAATCCAAAAGAGTGAAAAAAATCAACAGTAAAAACTTTCATCCATCACTCAGTTAATCCTCAATTCCTCTGCAGGTCTAACAATTACATTATTTCATGTATATCTTTTAAAAATTGCCAGAAAGGGGCTGGAGAAACAGGTGAGTGGTTAAGAGCACTGGCTGTTCATCCAGAGGACCCTGGTTCATCCCAGTACCTACATGGCAGATCATAACTATCTGTAATTCCATTTCCAGAGGACCTGACACCCTCACACAGACATACATGCAAACAAAACATCACCAATGCACATAAATAAAAATTATTAAAAATCACCAGGGAATAGTGGCACATGCCTTTAATCCCAGCATTCAGGAGGCAGACGCAGATAGATCTCTGAGTTTGAGGTCCTCTGCAAAGGTAGCAACAGCTTCTAACCACTGAGCTATCCCTCCAGCACTGATGTATGTCTTTCTCAGACATGTGTAGATATATCTAGGATTGTTCTGTGTGATTTAATGAAACAAGCCCAGTGTGATAGCACACACCTGTAATCACTCGGGGCAGAAGCAGGAGGATCACTGTGGGTGAGGCCAGCCTATGTTGTGGAAGTAGTCAGCAGAGAAGATTGCTCAGACATGGGTTGAGCATCTTTTATTAGCTGGTCAGTAACTACACTAAGTTATCCCAGAGTAGCCCCAAGTCTGTCTCAGGATGGGCTTTTAAGCACAAAAACCATATCCTTGATTGACAACAAGAAAAATTAGCCAGAAACAGAACTACAGAAGCCAAAGGCGAGGACAGTACATTTAAAATTTTTCTCGTAACTATGAACTTTGATGAATTAGGCCTTTGTTTTCATTTTTGGCAGGTGGTGTTATGCACATGCTGAGTGTTAAAGATAGAATGGCACTCCCATCATGGAGTCAGTTGTGCTAAAGTCTGGGACCTGGTTCCACCTGGTCCTTATATTGAGCTCCAGGTCAACCAGGGCTACAGAATAAGATTCTGTCTTAAGACACACACCCCACTCTCATTCCACCCACCAAAAGTTTGGAACAATTCCACAAGCCATTTGACCCTCTGTTTACTTTGCTTGGTATTCACAGCATATTTTGTGAGCATTCCAACTTTCCAGTGAGAGCCTCACACAGGCATAGATGTGGGAATATCCAGCACATGCCACTCAGGACAGCTGCAAGTTCTTAGCAGTCTTGCCCACCAGGTCTGCCTGCTCTATGACCTGCCTGACTCAGTTCTGCTACCCACAGTTGTGCATTACCAGACAGCTGGACACACAGATGTTAAATGCTCTGAGTTGGAGTCAAGGACTGGACAGTGTGCTTTACATGTGTTGTAGAACAACTGAGGACACAAATAACTCTATGGGACTTTTCTAAGGGACACAACACATTTTAGATCTTTTACATTGTAATAAAGTTATACATGTAACAAGCCTATCTACCATGTGTTTGGTGAAGAGCTCTCAGTTTTGAAACTTCATTTCAAATTCTGTGCCTTCCACTTTTTGCTATGACTTTGAGCAATTGAGTTAGCTTTGAGATACAGAATCATTAAAACTTGAATTTAAGATAATTTTGCCTTTGCTTTTTGGGGGGCTGAGACATCTCTACACTTTGGGGGACATGTATCTGGGATTTATCTAAAAACCTAAGACTTGTGAGTCAGAGATTGGTGGTTTTGTTTTGTTTTGTTTTATTTAAACAAGGTTTCACTATGCAGCCCTGGCTGGCCTAGAATTCAGTATGGAAACCAGGCTGGCCTTGAACTCTGAAAGATCCACCTTCCTCTGTCGATCCAATACTGGGATTCAAGGTGAACATTAACACACCTAGCCAGTCATGACTAAGGATGCAGTTTATTTGGCATCTACCTTAATATTAATTTCAAAACAGTTGTCTGAGTAAGAGGAAAGTTCCCAGGCCATACTAACAGGATATAACAGCTCTCTAGGATTGGAGAGATGCTTCAATGGGTAACACACTTGCTGCTCTTTTGGAGAACCAAAATTGAGTTCCCAGGAGTCAGGCTGCTCACAGCCATCTGCAATTCCAACTCCAGGGGAACTTAGGGCCCTCTTCTGGCCTCAGGTAGGCATCAACATGCGCGCGCGCACCCACACCCACACACACACACAGGTGGGGGAGTAAAATATAGGAGCTGAGAGATGACTCAGAGGTTAAGAGTGCATATTGCTCTTGGACCCATGTTGGGCAGCTCACAAATGGCTGTAATGCCAGCTCTTGGGGAATCCAATACCCTCTTCTACCCTCCTTACACACTACTCTTAAGTGGGCCACATATTCTCACACACACACAATTAAAAATAATAATAAAGATATATTTTTAAGTTCTCCCTAAGGCATTAGGATCTAGCTTTAGGATTCTTAAAATTGTTTCAAACAAGATTTACAGGTAATTCAATATGATCATACGTTACTGCAGAGCAAAACTATTTACTGGAAGGAGTCGTGACATCTGCAATATCTTCCGTAATAACAATGTTTAGAGTGCGCCTTACAAAAGAGGACCTGTGTTGGAGGACAAGCCTAGTGTTGAGTATGTTCCCCTCAACATCAGCACAGAGTCACAAAAGGAGACAACTCCAAAAGGAGGTCTGAGGAGGGCCTCTGCAACTGTACAAAGGTAAAAACAATCTTGTTGAGAAAAAGTATGTAGTTGAGAAGAGAGAGGAGATGGGAACATAAGAGGGAGACAAAGACTAACAGGGTGATGACAAAAATATGTAGGTATGAAAATGTCAGGCTGGCAAAATGGAGCACTGACTGCTCTATCAGAGGTCCTGGGTCAATTCCCAGCAACCACAGGGTGGCTCACAACCATCTATAATAAGATCTGGTGTCCTCTTCTGGTATGGAAACTTATATGCAGGCAGAACACTGTATACATAATAAGTAAAATCTAAAAAAAAGAAAGAAAAAGAAAAGAAAATGTCCTAATGAAGCCATTATTGTGAATTAATTAACATATGCTAATTTAAAAAAAAAAAGAATATATGGCTGGTGGTGGCGCATGCTCAAGGTGAGGAGGGGGGCAGAAACAGGAAGTTCTCTGTATGTTCAAGGCCAGCCTGGTCTACAAAGCAAGTTCCAGGACAGCCAGGGCTACACAAGAGAAACCCTGCCTCGAAAAACAAAATCAAAAACAAAAAAGCAAAGCAATCCAAACAAACAAATATATCAAGCCCATTTACCAAAGGTGTCTCCCCACAAAGCGTGAAGACACCTGAAAAGTGAAAGCAGAAGCAGGTCCCCGGAGCATACTGCCCAGACTTTCCCTGCCATAGCTTTCTCCTGGTCCTAGGACCTACCCTTGCCCAAAGCCAGCCTCTGCATCCCTCCAAGCCAATTGGACTCGGGCTAGCAGGGAGGCTCCCATCCGGGACTCCACGCCAGCCTCGTCGTTATAGTTACCGCCAGAGCCCCGCCCCTTCCTCGCTGCCCGGCCCCGCCCCTCAGAACCCGGAAGCGGGAGGCGCGCCCAGGGAGCTACGGGATTCGGAACTGGGAGGCGGCGGCCTCTGGCTGCTCAGTCGCGCGCCCCCTTTACCTGCTGCGCCCGCGGAGCCTCTGCTCTGCAGCCGCCCAGCCCACCCGCTCCCCGCCGCTTGCCTCCGCAGCGCCCGAACCGGGGCAAAGAGCCGTTTGGGCTGGAGAGAAAGGGACGCGGGGGTGGCCACGGCAGGTGAGGGGCAGGCCTTGGAAAGCCGGAGTGTGGGTGTGTGGTGCGTGTAGGGTTGTAGGTGGGTGTGTATCGAGCATGCGTGACTTGTAAGCGTAGTTCACGGGTGGGCCGGTCCTTGTGACTATGCACGTGATCCATATCCGTGTGTGTATGTGTCTGTGTCTCAGGGCCAGCCTCGGTTCATTGCGGATGGTTGGTGTGCCTGTGAGCCCACTGTTGTGTGGCTATGGCTGTAACTAGTGGGACTCAGGGAGACCCCTATTGGGGGGTGGGGGGTTGGTGCACAAAAGCCTTAATCGGACATCTTCATTTTCTTGTACCACCCAACTTGGGGCTGTGGGGCAGAAACTCAGGAGCATTTGATTTCAGTAAACTTTTAAGGACTGTGAGTAGAAGCTAGTTCTGGAGAGCCTGCCTTAGACCAGGTGTGAGGCTTGTTAAGGAGGCATTAGAAACATCGCAGGGCTAGTGTCTCATTTTTCTTTTCCCAGGGAGTAAGAAGTTAGGTGCTGATGCAGTTGCTTTGACTCTATCTGCAGTTGTGCAAGGATTCTACAGATTGGGAAGTCCTCTATTAGCAGTGTCTGGATTTTCAAAAGGCATTTACAACAGGGTCTTGAGAAGAGGGGGTCAGAAGATGTCATGCAGGCAGCTTCTCCTGTCATGGCATTTAGAGACAAGTGGATGGGTTCCTGGAGAAAGAGGGATGAATCTTCCCTGAAGAAATCACCCCAGAAAGATAGCTATTTAATACATATGGGTGTGGTGAGGAGGTGGAGATCTCAGTAAATAGCCCACTGTGGGGCTTTGGGTGTAGTTTAGTGGCAGAAGCTCATGCTTAGCGTTCCCAGGGCCATAGGTTCAATCCCTGGTACCAATAATCATAGTTGTGTCATCTAGAGGCTTTTAAGGTCTAATGCTTTTTCGTTGGTTGTAATAATCACAGATTATCCTTATATAAGCTCACTATAGATTGAGATAAAGGACCAGCCATATGTGACTGGCCATGCTCCCACAACCAGCAACATAAAATCCAGAAAGGACCAGGTGTCCTCAGCATCCTGGATGAGGGGTTTCCTTAATCATGATTAAAGCTTATCTCAGGCCCTTTCCTCACCAGCCTGGATAAGTGCTTCTGCTTTTGTAAAGAACTGAATCACAAAAAAAAAAATCATGTCTGTCCAAGCTCACCGCCCACACATTTTTTCATCCTGACCAGTTTGGTCACAATCTCAGCTAACTTTCTGGGCCATAGACAGAATGTTTCTCTTATGACTTGGAAAAGCATCCGGCCTAAGTGGATGAAAGAGAGCTAGAACAAACTTTCCTTTTCATACTGCTTCAGCTGCTTTCCTTTGCAGTTTTTTTTCCCCCTTCTTCATAGCCGTCAGCTGGTCACATGCAACATTTGGTATCTGTCTCGCCTTTCATTACTGCCAAACTAGCACAAGTGTTAGGATCAGTTGTCTTTACAGAAGTGTACTCACAGCTGGGCAAAATCTCTTACCCATCAAGATTAGTTATAACGTCGCAGGACTGAGGCCGTTGTGTGTTATACCAAAGGCTTTTAGTAAGGACTACCTTCTACCGGTTGCTGTGGGAAAGAAGTGAGTAACTCGGGGTCTTTGTGTGCCTGCCTATGTGTTTGTGCTGTGGTTTGGTTTGTGAATTGCAGCTGACTCCAAAACTATGAATAATTTTTATTGTAAGTGGGTTGATTCTAGACGTAAACTTTAACAAATTGATTGAATTTTTGGTTTCAGCTATCACTGTATAGCCCTGGCTGGTTTTGAACTCAGAATTCTGTCTTCCCCTTGAGTGATGGGGTTAAAGATGTGTGCTATCATCTGATGCCTTCACATATTTTTGATGTTCCCTCCTACAGAAATTGTTTCTAGAAAATGTCTCTAGTTGGTGTCCAAGTATAAAATATTCCAGAATTAACTGTATGTACCGCTAGTTGCTTTTATTTAAAAAGTAATAGCATAAGGGAGACAGAAGAGGTAAAGTGACTAAATTTATTACATAAATGTGTGAAACTATCAAATAATAAGAATTTCTAAAAATCATTAAAGTTGTATTATAAAAATATTTCAAATGGCTTAGATATTTTTAAACATGTTAATATTTAAGGTAAAATGGATTTTGTAAAGGATTGTGTTCTTTGTTTTAGTATTAATAACTGAATCTGCCCACTCTGATTTTAGCATAAGAGGTGGTGATTTACTTTGTGTTTTAAAACAACTTGCAATTTTATCCAGGGTTGGGGTGGCAGGTGGCAGAGGCAGGTGGATCTCTGTGAGTTAGAGGCCAGCCTGGTCTACAGAGTGAGTTCCAGGACAGTTGGAGCTACACAGTGGAACCCTTTTCTCAAAAAAAAAAAAAAAAATACATTTTCAATAACAGTCTCTTGAAACATTTCCTTTGAGATAAGAGACCATTATCCTGTTAGTTTAGTGATTCTCAAAGGCAGCAGTCCAGTGTTGTGTCTCCTAAGAAGGGTCAGAGAATGAGGAAGGATTCCATTGAGTTTAGAATCCTCTGCCCCTTGCCAGTCCAGAAAGCTTTTTCAATGTCAGCCTACACGTAAGTCCTGGACTGTCACCTCATCCCTGCTAGGGACTCTAGTTCTGCCCTCGAAGCAGGGGAATACCAGGAAAGGCACATATTTGAACCTTCCCAAGTGCTTCTCTTAGCCATAAGAATCTGCAACAGGGAACCTGTGTTTAGGTATGCAGTTCACAGCCTGATGGTAACAGGATTAGGAGGGTTCTTGGAGGGCCTGATTCCATCTCTTTAGGGCTCGTTTATCCTGTAGTCAGCAGATCAGGTGGGCTGAATGCCAAACCATTCTAGGCTCTGGGGAAGCAAAGATGAAGCCCACAGAGCTATCAAAACAAGGAGACACACCTTTTCCCTATTGCAAGCTACAGAATTTTTATATCTGTATCACAGGTATTTAACAGAGACTCTTTGTAGCTTCTCAGCCCTGGGTGGTGGGGGTGGGGTTGAATCCAGGGCTTTGTGCATGCCAGCCAAATGTTCTATCACATCCAGTTATATCTCAGCTGTGTACCTTTTAATATCAGTAAGAATGATATGTTCCCCCCCCCATCGGATATTAACTACATGTGAATTAAAGGTAGATTTGTGTGGCATATTGTCCATTATCAGGAAACAAACTTAACTAACACCATCTTTATCATGTCTGTCCTATAAACAAATGGGAAATTTATTAAAATGGATTGATTCTTAAGATGCTGTCAGAAGATGGTAGCCAGGCTGTAGTTTGCAATCTCCTAAGTAGAACAGGCAGGATGGAGTTACAAAAGAATATTCTGTATCCAATCTGGTTCCTCAATTCTGCAAGAGCAGAGTCCTCTTTTAGAGGTACCAAAGGGATTTACCCTTGTATCCTCTCAGTTTAAGTCTATACTTATGAGGTAAACAACCTGTATTGTTGGTGCAGCTAGAACCCGCCTCTGCATTGAGCTGAGATAATGAGAATTCTCGCTGTGAAACTGTCGTATGCTTTCATTTCAGGGTTCACCTCCAATTCTGCTCATCATGGGAGAGATCAAAGTCTCTCCAGATTATAATTGGTTTAGAAGTACAGTTCCCCTTAAAAAGGCAAGTATGCTTTTACTTCATTTCATAGTCACAAAAGCTGGTATTGGTGTGGTTTAGAAGCTATGCCTCAGTACTGTGTGAGAGTGAAGATTATTGCCAAACACTGTGACTGGTGTTACAGAGAGTAAAGTTCACTGGTTCCCTGTCACATGCAATCAGCTTTGGACACTGACTAGAGCAGAATCAAGTGTAATGATTTTGTGGTTTGCAATTCCTTTCACATACCCAACTTTGGATAATGTAGTGAAGTGCTCACAGCAATATCTTCATTTCTGTTTCCTTTCCTGAAACGTAAGCCTCTTAGAACTCTGTGCAGTGATGCTTTCGTGATTTCCTGTTGTTGTGACAAGATACCATGACCAAGGCAACTTAAAAAAGAAAGCATTTACTTGGGGCTTTCAGTTTTAGAGGGATAAATCTCTGACTCTCATGGCAGGCATGGTGCTGGAGCAGTAGCTAAAGTCTTACATCCTGATCAACAGGCTTGAGGCAAAGAAAGACCCACTGAGAATCCTTTGAAACCCACCCTCAGTGACACAGTGCCTCTTCCAAAGCCACACCTTTCCTAGTTGTCCTCATGATAAATTTGCTTGAAATTTCGTGGTGCTTTGGTTTTAAGTTGTCAGGCAGAGCCAAATGGTGGTGGCTCACGATTTTAATACCTATATTTGGGAGGCTGAGGCAGGTGGATCTCCCAGTTTGGGACCAGCCTGGTCTACAGAGAGAGTTCCAGGACAGGCAGGCTAAACAGAAAAATCCTGTCTCGAAAAACAAAACACGTTGTCAAGCAGATACTGTGTGTTCTGAAGAAGTTCTGATGAAACTGCCACTCAGAGAACTCAGAGGCAGTTGATGTTAAGCACCCGTAGGTGTTTATGGCTTATGTTCAGAATGCCTCTGTCACTTCATCCAACACGCTTGTTTCAGGAGAGGTGTGTGTGAGCTACTATTTCAGAACTTGATGTTTGTATTACTCTTCTTCCAAGTTAGATTCTTGAAACAAATCCCTAGAAGACTGAGGTCTGCTTGTCTTACATGATTTACAAGACTGGGGTTTGTTGTGTTGTGTGGGCTGAAAAGGTCATCAGTTTTGTTGTGTGGTTTTAAACCCCAATCACAGGGAAAAGATACCTAGGAATCGATGGCAAAACACAAAGGTCAAATCCATGCGCTGTATTGTCACCATCTGGGGAAAGCCAGACGGAAATTATTTGGAGTCCCTGGACTTTGCCTTGTCTTATTTGTCAGCTCTTGGTGACACCAGTGACCCTGGTTAGTCAGTCGACTGATACCCACAGAGGGATACCGTAGAGTCCACAGTCCTGCTAGCTAGGAGAATTCAGGAAAAATTATGAATATTGATTTTAATAATGATTGTTGGTGTGATGAAGTATAATAATAGCTAGCTGGCACTGGATACCTCCCTACTGTCTGCCAAGCTTTGGGCAAAGTTCTCGACTTGGCTTGTTTCATGTTCTTTCTTCCCTGTCAGGTTAAGAACACTAAATCACAAAGACCTCTGATAACCTCCTCCCTCCGTTCCTTTTTTTTAAAAAAAAAAAAGTCTTTCTCCACTTCCAACCTCCAGTGAGTGTTTGAAGCATTTCCTAAACAGTGACACAAACACACCCAGCCAGTCCTTCATCTGATGAAATCCTTTCCTCCCTCTCAGCCTTGCTCTAGATTGGATCCTGAAGCATCTGGGGTCTGCCTAGCCTCTTCCCAGAGCCTGGTTTTTAGTTCCTACTGGCCTGCCCTGATCAGTCTCTGACCCTGCTGACCTTAGCCAGTCCTCTGGTCCAGCACTCAAGAATGACTGCAAACTGCTCTCTTACATGCGCACACAGGCACAGGGAAAATACAGAGTGCCATGTAGAGTTTACTATTTAATGGTAAACAAAACAGACTTCCTCTTACAGGGTAGGCAGGTCAGTTAAAAACAGAAAAGGTGGCTCTTGAGAAGTTTATAAAGCACTCTGAAGAAAGAAAAGGAAACCAGAGTAGTTTATTGTGAGATGCCAATCTGTGGTCCTCACTACCCTCTCTGGTTATAACAGTAACCGTTATAAACCAGCACCTTCAAACTCCAGTTCGTAAGATTTTTATTTCTTCTCCGTTTTATCTTTTCCTGCAGATAATTGTAGATGATGATGACAGTAAGATCTGGTCGCTCTATGACGCTGGCCCCAGAAGCATCAGGTGCCCGCTCATCTTCCTCCCTCCTGTCAGTGGAACTGCAGATGTGTTTTTCCAGCAGATCTTGGCTCTCACTGGATGGGGTTACCGAGTTATAGCTGTGAGTATGACTGCTTCAGCATTGAAACTCAGGTTCCTGGGCCTTTGCCCTTCTGCTTCTCACTAACTATAATAATGGGAGCTTTTTATCTAAAGTAAGATTATAATTTCCTGTTTTATTTTCAATCATGCAGCTCTTTATTTTTCTTGTGATACATCAAACCTGTGGCTGAGAGAGCTCTGTACCACTAAACAAGTACGTCCTGTACTTGTTTCCTCCTTTAAAGTATCCTCAAGGTGTCATTGAAAAGGATTTTTGTTTCTGAGTATTTATTATGTATACAGTGTTTTGCCTACATGTGTGCCTACGCCATCAGAAGAGGGCATCAGAGCTCATAGATGGTTGTGAGCTACCATATAGTTTCTGGGAATTGAACTCAGGATCTCTGGAAGAGCAGCCATTGTTTTTAACCTCTGAGTCATCTCTCCAAACCCCCAAGTATTGTTAGGGCTTGATCTCGTTTCCCACTGATCCTTCTGAATTTTTTTCTCTAGACTGAGTGTTTGTGGGGAAGGTTCTTTACTTGTGACCGAGGTTGTGATGCCTGTGCCTTAGCATAGGTTGGTGAGGAAGAGCAGTGGCTTCTGGGACCTGCATTGTTGTGCCCGCCCCCCAGCTCCCTGTGGAGTGCTGCTGTTGTAATCCAGTTGGTCACTATCTGAGGGAGTAAGTGGTCAGCTCTCTTCTGGGGGGCAGGGTATTAGTTACTTTTGCATGTTGCTGGCACAGGTGGTTTGTTTTGGCTCACAGTCAAGGGTGCAGACCATCATGGTATGGTGGGATGTGAAGGCTGCAGGGGCTTGGGGCAGGTGGTTATGTTGCATCTGTAGTTAGCAGCAGAGAGAAAATATGGGTGCCCATCTTGCATTCTCCTTTTTACGTCAAGCCTATGATCCCAGTCCATGGAATGGTGCCACACACAGTCAGAGTGGTCTGCCCTCCTCAGCCAAGTCTAGATAATCCCTCACCACCATGCCCAGAGGCTGGTCTCCAAAGTGAGTCTAGATCCTCTAGAACTGATAGTCTGTATTAACCATCACTGACAGAATCTAGGGGTCCCATCAGACAAATCCAAGTCCTCTTTCTCCTGGCAGCCCTTCTCTGGAGAGAACAGTTGGTGCCAGCACTGCCCCCAGGCCTTTCCTGGCTTCATCTCTTTCACCATTCCTTGCATGGCATGAGTCTCTGCGGGTAATCTTCCTGTGTCCTGGGTGTTCAGTCATCCTTCACACACAGCACACACACACCAGGAGAGTGAACACCCCAGCCCTCCACAGCCATGGGTGGAGCCTGAGCTGCTCATTGGTTTGGGGGTACAGGTTGAGACAAGTTTTCTCTCTGTAGCCATGGCTGTCCTGGAACTCACTCTGTAGACCAGGCTGGCCTCAAACTCACAAGAGATCCGCCTGCCTGTGTTTTCTCAGTGCCAAAAACCAAGGTGTGAGCCAGCCTTGCAAAGGTTCTTTTTAAAATTACATTTGTCTGTTGAGAGAGAGACTTGCAAGAGTTACTTCTCTTCTTCTACCATGTGGATCCCCAGATCAGACTTGTGACTCATGTACCTGCTGAACCATTTCTCTAGCCCCCCCCACCCCACATGCCATTTATTTAGACAAAGCCCAGTAGTATCTTCAAAACAGTCAAGATTTGATAGTTAGCAGGTTGGCAGGATAACTCAATGGACAAAGCTCTGCTGCATAAGGCAAGCACCTTTACCTGCTGAGCCATCTTGCTGGCCTCTCTGTATTTTTAGATACAGTCTCCCACTGCACCTGGAACTCATGATTTAGCTACACTAACTGCCCAGCTAATTTTGGGGCTCTGCCTCTAAAGCCAACACTGGGGTTACAGACACTCAACCACCATACCAGCTTCCACGTGGGTGCTGAGAATCCAAACTCTGGACTTCATGCTTGTGCCCACACACTTTATTCACTGTGTTATGTCCCTAGCCCACTTTTGATTTTAAACAAATTTCTCATTGACAGCCATGAAGTAGTGTTAGTATTCACCTATTGTAGATTTTCTCTTCACCATATTTTGCTGCATAGTCCTATACACAAGCCTATGTTTGTAATGTCTGTCTCCTGAGATGTTAATGTAAATTTGCTGCTAACATACAGTTTATCTTTTTAAGATTTATTTTGAGAGAGAGACTGTGTGTGTGCATCTATGTGTCTGTGTATGTGTACATGTTCATGTCAGAGGAGTTGGGTTCCTGTAACTTGACTTACAGTTGTGAACTACCCAATGTGGATGTTGGAAACAAAACTTGGATCCTCTGAATGAACAGCAAGTGCTCTTAACCACTGAGCCATCTGTCTCCACCCTGTGGATGTTAATATAGTCTACTGATTTTAATATACTCTTTCAAATTTACTCAGCTTTACCCAGACTTAATTGTGTGTGTGTATGTGGGGGGGGGTTATTAAATTGTGTACAACTTGATTACCTATGTATGGAGTTTTGGTTTGGCTTGTTTGGTCTTGGGGATTAAACTCAGCCTGTGTGTGATGAGCACATAGCGTACCACTGTGTCATGCCCTCAGCGTAGTGTAAGACTTTCAAATTAAAGTCTTATAAATACATTCCCTTTTCTCTTAAGGTATCATTTGCATCCTAGTCTAGAATCCTTATCCACAAAGAGAATTTTAATAATAAAATATATCAGATCCAAAATTATCCTATAATTTACACAGCAGTATCTATCCCATTGATTTTATTTTAATGACAGTATAAATCTGAGGGCTTAAAGCAACAAAACAAGACTGTCGGTGGGTATTATGTACCTTTTAGATGAAGGGTTTGGAAACATAGCTTAGTCATAAGGGTACAAGCATCTGCGTGTGCACACATATACACACAGAAATTTTAAAAAGACAAGTCTCAGTCCCTAGAAATAAGTTGGTTGCTTATACTTTTGTCCTCATCATCACCAATACTAGCAGACAGACTTTAGGGTCAGCTGTCATACTTTTTCATTTTTGACATAGTGAAAATACAGGGAATCAGAAAAACTCATTGCAAACGATCATTTTATTGAACAGTTCCTTAAAGAAATGCTACTGGGCGGTGGGGAGGTGTTCTTGAGAAAGGGCTTTATTTACTGTTCTCCTGGGTCTGTAAACCTCGTGTTCTCAATTCAGAATGAACTTGGGTTTCTTTACCTCAAGGGATTCTGCAGTAGTTGCTCTTGACCCTCAGTCTGTTTGACAAGGAAACTGATGTGTATTGAAATTGTGTGTGAGCTGAAGAGATGGCTCAGTGGTTAAGAGCACTGGATGCTCTTTCAGAAGACTTGGGTTCGGTTCTTAGCACCAACATGGCAGCTCACAACCATCCATAACAGCAGCCCCAGGAGATCTGACCCCTCTTCTGGTCTCCATTGGCACCCACATGCATGTGGCTTACAAACACATAAAGATATGTCTTTAAAAAAAAAAATAAAACTTTGAAAGATGTTATTTTCACATACTTTGAAAAAGAAGCAAAGCTTGGGCAATAGGAAATGTTGCTATGTGATTCCTGAACTGTTCAAATAAGGAGTTGCATTTTGTTTTTAGCATAAATTTTCTATTTCCTCTGCCCCAGCCTATTGTGCCAGACTGTGTTGACTCCTCATGGGAGCCCTTACCTGTGAGGAGGAATGGACTGGGGGTGGGCTAGGTGGGAGTTGAGGGAGGCAGCTCACAACCATCCATAACAGCAGCCCCAGGAGATCTGACCCCTCTTCTGGTCTCCATTGGCACCCACATGCATGTGGCTTACAAACACATAAAGAGCTGTGGTTAGAATGTAAAATGAAATCAAACAATAAATATGGAAAAAAATTCTATTTCAGTTGCAGTATCCAGTTTATTGGGACCATCTTGAATTCTGTGATGGATTCAGAAAACTTTTAGACCACTTACAGTTGGATAAAGTGAGTACCCCAAACTAATAACATGTGATTGTACTGTACATCTTATAAAGGCTAAGGTTGTCTTTTAGTTTTTAATAATATCTTTATTGTGGTATAATTCATTTTTAAAGTAAACAGTCACATATTTAAAATTCTAAGTTATGGACTGGAGAGATGGCTCAAGGGTTAAGAGCACTGGCTGCTCTTCCAGAGGTCCTGAGTTCGATTCCCAGCAACACATGGTGTCTCACAGCCATCTATAATGAAATCTGGTGTCCTCTTCTGGCTTGCGGGCAGAACATGTGTATATATAATAAATAAACAAATCTTTTTAAAAAATTAAATTTCAAGGTATATTTGTAGCTGTCAACACTGTCAACTTTAGAGCCTTTTTATCATACACACACCACAAAGGAAGTTTATTGGGCTATGGAATGGTAAAGACACTTGCCACCAAGCCATCCCAGGGATCACATGGTAGATGTAGAGAGCTGCACTTGGCTTGCTGCCAGCTGTACATTGGGCATCGGTTGTGGGGTCCCTGTGACTACCAGGGCCAGCAGAATAACAGTCCAAGTGAGATAAGAAGGCAGTTAGGGTCATCGTGACTCAGTAGCCAGTGAGGAGTCTGACACTGGGCAGTTTATTTTAGGCATATTTAAGCACAGCACCATTTGAAAAAAAGTTTCCTGGTGATAATTAGCTCGTCCTGTGTGCACAGTAAAGCTTAAGGCAGACTACATCAAAGCTTTCATAAAGTACATGTGACATCTTCCATAAAGATGGGTTCTATAGATTGACTACATGAGGCATCATAAGGGTCTGGAGAGGATCTCATGTCTCTGTTGTACAGATAGCACAGAGGTTGTCAGGCTGTTAACCACCTCCCAGCCTTCTAGGCAGAACACATGTTATACATCTCTCCCTTTGAAGAGATAACCCTTTATGTTTAACATTCCTGGTTTCCCTAGTGCTTATCTTTGGGCACTAGGACCTCTGTGCCTCCCATATCCTCTGACCTCCACAAGCATGCCATGGCACATGTGTGCCTGTGTCCACACACACACACACACACACACACTTTTTTTGTTTGTTTTTTAAATGAGAGTAGAAAAGTTATTGTCAGTCATTCTCCATCTTTCCTCATAGCTATGCAACCTCTGTGACCTAAGTGCAATTATATGAGATGTGGCCCTTTGTAACTGGCTTCTTCTGCTTAGTGCAATGTATCTGAGGCTCTTTCCATTGGAACATGGGTCAGCACAGGTTGAGTACCCCTATCTTAAATGTTTGAGATGGTGTCTCAAAATTTGGAGTAGTCGAAACACTTTATCTGTTGAGTGTCCCTGATCTGAAGATCAAAATGCTATAAAATTTAAGATTTTATCAGAATTATGTCCTCAAAAAGGTTTTGGTTTCAGAACGTGTACTGGCTGGTTTTGTGTGCCAATGTGACGAGAGGAAGGAGCCTCAGCTGATGAAATGCCTCCATGAGATTCATCTATAAGTTATTTTGATGGGGGAGGGCCCAGTCTGTTGTAGGTGGGTCCACCCCTGGGCTGGTGGTTCTGCCTTCTGTAAGAAAGCAGGCTGAGCAAGCCATGTGAAGCAAGCCAGTGAGCAGCATCATCCATGGCCTCTGCAGCAGCTCCTGACTCCAGGTCCCTGCCCTGTTTCAGTTCCTGTCCTGACTTCCCTCAATGATGAATAGTGCTGTGGGAGTGTAAGCCAAATGAACTCTTTCCTCCCCACCATGCTTTTTGGTCATGGTGTTATGTTGCAGCAGTAGAAATCCTAGGAGAGAGCATTAGATGATTGTTTGTTTCATTTGAGACAGTTTCATGTAGCACAGGCTGACCTCAAGCCAGATCTTGAACTACAGGTTTCCACCTCTGCAACCCATGAGGCTGGGTCCTAGAAACCTGACTCGGGTGACAAGGGAATGAAGACAAGACAGGACAGACACAAGTGTAAAAAAGCTGGGATCGGGTGGGCCATGCGCTCTGATGGAGATGCACCAGCAAAAACTAAGTGAGTTTACTGTATACCACTGAACAAGGAGGCAGGTTTTGCTAATCTCAGTAGGAGGGAGAGGGGAGCAGTTTCGGGTTGCAGTCATCCAAGAGGAGGAAGCTGTGGTTGGTGTCTGTACAGTGTCTGTACACACTGATTTTAGGTGAAGGTTTGTTCATCAATACTTACATTTGGTTCAAGGGAAGGCTTTGCCTCCATACCCCACAACCATGTCCAGTTTATTGTTTCAAGGTTTTTGTTTGCTCACTTAAGACTGACTTGTATGCACAGATGCTTGTACTTGCAGAGGTCAGCAGAGAATGTTGGGTGGCCTCTGTCTCTCTCCACCTATTCCTCTGAGGCAGGGTCTGGGGCTACAGGTATGTGCAGAATACCAGCTGGAAACATGTCTGTTGGGATCAATACTCTTAACTGCTGAGTCATGTTTTTAACCTCCAGTGTTTTGTTTTTTAATGGGATACATAAATTTATTTAAATAAAATGTCTGTTGAATTTACTGCTGTAGGTATTTCAGCCTGCTAGGTAGTGGTGGCACATTCTGTGATTCACAAAAATTGAAGCAACTCAGTGCCTTATGTTTGTTTATAACTAGGTCCATTTGTTTGGAGCATCTTTGGGAGGATTTTTGGCTCAAAAATTTGCTGAATACACTCACAAGTCTCCAAGAGTCCACTCCCTCATCCTCTGCAATGCCTTCAGTGACACATCCATCTTCAACCAAACGTGGACTGCAAACAGGTAAGAATGTTTATTTTTAAATGTCAGCTTTGGAGGAATTTTGGTTCGGTGGCCATAGAAGGTGGACAAGAAGAGATTTCTGTGAATGCCACATTCAGCTCTTCCTTTACTCAGTTTGGGTTCAGCATGTAGTCATGAACTCTCACAGTATCATAGTGTTCGGCTCTCTATACTGACAGTTTCAAGTGGATTTTTCCATTTTTCTGTCATGCTCTGCTATAAATCTTCATACAGTTTGCTTTCCTTTCTGGGCTATTTCCCTGAGAGGTGATCATAAGTGGAAGGACGAGAATACTTAGTTCATGGTGGTGTGATTGTGACACTTCATGTCCCATTCTTCAGAAAAATTTCCACAGAATTATGTAGGAGCAACCGGTCGTTAGTGACACACATCTTTAGTCCCAGCACTCCAGAAGCAGAGGCAGGCAGATCTCTGTGAGTTTGAGGCCAGCCTGCTCTTCAGAGCTAGTTCCAGGACAGGTTACAGAGAAATTCTGTCTTGAAAAACCAAAACTAAAAAATAAAAAAAAAAAAAATTACATAGGCACTACCAGGTTCTCCTCAACAGTACTTTGATTTTAATGTTTTAATTTTACATGTATGAGTGCGAGCCGTGGTGAGCTGTGGCAATCTGGACACCTTGGGTGTGAGTCCTAACATTCATTGCTGTGTATGCCATGGCAGCTGGCCCCATGAGCTTCTGGGGACTCTAGGATGACAGGATGGTGCTCCTGCTTCTGGCTTTGTGTGGAATCTTTTTAGGGATCTCAACTCAGATCCTCACTGCTTTCATGGCAGACTCTTACTCCTTACCCCAGCCTGCTTTTAACTCCTTACCCCAGCCTGCTTTTAACATTTTACTTGATAGTCTCTAGTCTGAACACAAGTCTGTTTACCTTCCACTTGAAAAAGACCCAGTGAGTTAAGGACAAGTGTTGGGTAAAGGAGGAAGGATTTATTTGCTAAGTCAGCAAGACCCAGACAACCCGAAGGCGAGGGTCCTGAATGACAGACCACCTTAGTACATTTTTATCATGGGAACCTGGCAATGTGTTGATTAGAAGGAACTGTGTCCTCACAGGAGGTCCAGGCTTTTGCAGCCAAGGAGACCAGCGGTGCAGCTGTTCTTCCTACATGTTGGTATTCCACACAACCTTGTGGGACAAGGCCACTGACCCCAGGGGTTACTTAATGAGAAAAGGGAGGTGATTTCAAAATGGAATAGCTTAACTTGGAGGTAGAAATCCTGTTCAGGTGAACTTTTACTATAAACTTCCCAGCAAGTCTTGGGCATGTACTATGTACTAAGTGTCATCTTGACTTGGGGCTTTAACTGTAGGCCAGGTTAAAGGTGAAATGAGGCTTCCTTCCTCCTTTTTGAGGGACACACCCACCGTTCCTCTTTGGAATAAGCCCAGGACAGGGATGGATTTGCACCATTCCCAATCACTGTACCATGGCTTAGGAGCCTTCCTGTATAGTTTCTGGGTAAGGCCTCAGGAGAGATCTGATGTGTGGTAAATAAGAATCTGGGAAATGATAGGCTGATGGATGGATGTTTATTTGGGGAGAAATCACTTATACCAGAAACATGACTACCGCAGGTTCCCGTCCCAAGGATGCCTCTGTTGCTCTGTGTCTCCGACCAGGACGTAAGAGCGCAAGCTGGAATCTGGGACCCCAGACCTAGTCTCCCCAGGTCATGCCCGCACCTGTTCCCATACCCCAATGGATATGGTCAGTGCAACAAATGCAGGCAGGGGGATATCTCACTACAGAGATCATCTCTGTTATTCATATGCCTTACTCAGTAAATATCTAGTACATCCCATGCTAAAGGGAAATATTGAGCAGAAGTTTTCTAGAACTCAGCCATCTTGATGAGTAAGCTCTCTTCCCCAAGGCTGATATTCTTAGCCAAACACAGGAAGTTGTATCAGAGTGCAAGAGGATTTTACCTTCCTATGCTAGCATCAAGATGGAAAGGATAAGTGCTACCAGCGTATGTCCGGCCTCTACTGAGTGACACTTTGGGCATCTCACTGTCCTTGGTGGGACATGAGTCTGGTGCCAACACTGCCCCATAGTGGAGGATCCACAGTCTAGTCTAGGTCCAGGCCCTTTGGCAGATGGGTTCTTGAATTGGGCTGGTTCACTTTGCTGCATGCGCATGGTCTGCTTCTTGGTCCTCGGACGTTTGTAAGACCTGGTCACCAGGCAGAAATGGATGGTTATGGTTTGCAAAGACCTTCTAGAGGCAAACTTGGAAAAGGTTAATATTGCCCCAATGTTTTTCATGCCCAGTCACCCTGGTCCTTGACTAAGTCAACATATTTTCTACAGAGGGAGAGCTCTCAACTGGCTTACCATACAGTACAGTTTTACATTTATTATGGTGTATGTAGATACGCATATGCCACAGAGTGCTTTGGGAGGTTAAAGGGCAACTTTCAGAAGTCTGTTCTCTCCTGCCTTGTTGAGGCAGGCTGGCCCAGCAAGCTCTTGGGCACTTCTCCTGGCTCTGCTTCCCATCTCCCAGTGGGAGTGCTGGGATAACAGGTGGTTGCCACCATGTATGACTTTTTCATGGGTTCTGGAACAGAACTCAGATTTCACAGCAAACTGAGCCACTCCAGATACTATTTTTTCCAAGTTGGTTTCTTGACAGATTTTGCAATAGTTTTCTTATTGGTCTTTTTTCATTGCCTAGGGCTTCCTACAAGAGGATAATTTCCATTGCCTAGGGCTTCCTACAAGAGGATAATTTCCAAGTAATATATAGTATTTTAGACACTGTTTGGGTGACAGCTGGAGCGCACCAAGAGGGTCCATTGTTCTTTTAAGATTTTTATTTTTGAAAAGACTGTGTGCCCACATGTGAATGTAGGTAACTCATGGAGTCCAGAAGAGGACATCAGATCCCCTGGTGTTACAGGTACTTTAAGTTGCTCAACATGGATACTGGGAACCAAGCAAGGGATGCTTTTAATCTCTAACCCATTGCACTGGTTTTAAGGAACCAAATTCCAGGATACTTTTAAAATTCTTTGCCAATACAAGTCCAGTAGGCCTTTACCCACCTAGAAAATGTATCCACAAAACTTGGAGCATTGGAAAGACACTAATTTGCCACTCTTTGCTGGAGACAAAGTCTCACATGTAGCCCAGACTCGTCTCACTCTTCCTGCCTCTGCTCCCCTAGTGCTGAGAATGGTGTATAAAATGAGTCCCGTGTACATTTTCATCCCCGTTGGAAGACTCTTGTGCAGTAGGATAGTGTTAGTTTTTCTTGTCCTGCCAGGGCCCATAGCCACCTTCAGACCCATTATTAAACTGTTGGCCGATGGCTAGGGCTTCTTACTGGCTAGCTCTGTCTTAATTATTAACCCACTTCTATTAATCTAATATTTCCACCTGGTCCTATCTTACTGGAGAAGGGGCTGGACCTGTTACTCCTTCTCAGCTATGTGGTGTCTCTACCTTTCCCAGAATTCTCCTTGTCTCCTACTCCCACCTAGTTTCCTGCCTCTATGACCAAACAGTGTTTATTCATCAACCAATAAGAGAAACATATATACAGAAGGACATCCCCCATCCATAGGGATGCTGTGTCAGTCTCTGCAAGGGCTTCCTAGAGCAGAATCACCCCTGGAGCACTGCATTTCCATCCAGGGCCACTGGTTAAAAGTGAAATGCTGGGGGCTTGCTAATGCTCAGGTGCAGCAAGCATGAGCACCTGAGTTAAGGTCCCCAGCACCCATGTATAAGCAGGGCACATCCTCCCCTGCCTGTAACCCCAGTGCTAGATGGGGCAGGGATGGAGACAGAAGGATTGCTAGCCAGACAGCTCAGCCTTAAGTCAGTGAGCTCCAGCTTCAGTGAAACACTGTCTCAAGGGAGTAAGGCAAAGAGTGACAGACTTTTGTTTTTATCAGTATATGAAGGTTTATAGCTGTCACCAACTCCAGCAGCCTTCTTCACTGCTTTATGAGCCAGCTTTCTACTTACTAGATTATGCCTTCTGGTGGCCATAACAGACAATGGTCACCTAGGGATGCTGTGAGCAGCCACTAGTAACTGTAGGATTTTAGCAACCTGCTTTCCCTTGGCTAAACCTAGCACCCTCTGCAATACTTTTTGTCTTCTGGTTTCTCATAATACTTAATAATACAGCCCAGCAGTTGGCAAAGCCTGATCAGAGAGGCCCAGACAGCTGTATGTACTAGTTCAATAATCTCTACGCAGTTACACTTGGAGTGGGGGCATCAGAGATATCATTTGGGAGCAAAGTGGTACAACTCCCTGTGGAGGTAACTCATATCTCACACTGAGCCTGGCCAGTAGGATGGCTGGGTAGTTTCCATTCCTCATCTTTAATAAGGAAAGGATGTGGAGGGAACATGCATAAAGATTGTTCCAAGGGTTTGTTGCATGCCAGGCAAGCTCTCAGCCACTGAGCCACAGCCTCAGCCTTTGGGGTGTGTCCTTTCTAGACTCTAATGTCACGGTAGAATTAAGTGGTATATAACTGATATCCCAACACGAAGAAAACTATAAAAGAAAACTGTCAAAGAGGTTAGTCAGAGCTACATGCACAAGAGCCTGTCTCAAACAACAAAAACAAAAGCTCATACAGTGGTTTTACAGTAGACCCATAATTGACATTTCAAATTCTGCAAGGGAAGAAAACAAAAACAGCCATTTACCCCAGATTCAGTCAAGTGCTGTCTGGACTTGTTTATGGAAAATGTTTCCTTGCTTCTAGGACAGTGGTTCTCAACCTATAGGTCATAGCCCCACAGAGGAAACATTAGATATTTGCAATTAATAATAGCAAAATTACAGTTATGAAGTTGCAATGAAATAATTTTATGGTTGCGGGTCACAGCATTAGGAAGGCTGAGAACCCCTGCTCTAGGACAAAGAAGAGCATAAGTAGGTGAGTTATGTCTGTGGCTTAGCACAAGGCAGTTTGTAACATGCTTCTATGTTGACAAGGCTCTGCTGAGCAGGTTCTGCAGCTTAAATACAAATAGTTCTTGTTTCCAAGAGTAGTAGTTGTCTGCAGTGAAGGCTCTAGGGGTGCAGATTCAGGACAGTTCTGTTTCCCTTAGACCTTAGTACTCAGTTGAAGGTGGTTTTTTGAGTGCCAATATATTATGTGGAGTCTGGCAGGATTTTATTTGTATGAATATTAAAATTTTTCCTTTATTTATTCAGACAGATCTCACCCAGCATCTGCCAGCTTCACTTTCCCAAGTGCTGGTATTAAAGGCACGTGCCTGGTTAATAAGTCTTATAGTAATGGGCATCAACCACTCATAAAATGAATCAACCTTATTACAAGAGACTGACTAGGCTTTATCCCTTCTGAGCGGTGATTGTGATTAGGATCTTTGCCACTTTTGTTTTTTGAGACAGGGTTCGCTGTGGCTTTAGTTGTCCTGGAACTAGCTCTTGTAGACCTAGCTGGTCTCAAACTCACAGAGATCTGCCTGCCTTTGTTCCTTCTTTTAAGGCAATTCTTACTAGGGAAATAAACTGTCTTGCTATGAGCCCTGTCTGCCCTTCTCCCAGGGCGGTACCCATCCCAGGTGACTTGATGCTGAGTTGTCCTGGCAAAAAATGTTACTTGAGCATGTGAGGTACAGGTGGTCTTGTCCCTGAAGGGGACTCCAGCATCTGTACGAAACTACTTTGGGCTGAGAGTCCCAGGATGGCATTCCAAAGGTTACAAAAATGGGTTCTCTGCCTTTCCCAAGACTTTCATCAGGAGAGTGGCCTGTAAAATTAGTTGTTCTTGCCAACCGCGTATTTTGGTTCTGAACAAATTGTACTGGCTTCCCGCAGGAAATCAGTTCATTATCCTGTCAGGTTTACCCAGTGCTCCTATTGTAGGGCGGTTGGTATAGGGCAGTTGGTATAGTGTCTTTCTTTTCCCTTTACTATAACCTTCCATGTTAGAGGACTCTATTCCATCATTCCTCCTCCGCGAACTAAGGCTGTGGAGAACCTTTTCTAACGCAGTAGCAGCCAGGAGGCATATTGTGTCAGGCTCCCCTCCTCCTGCAGATGTTGTTTAACATTAAGGTTACATCAGCTCCCCCAGACCAGATTTGTACCAAAAGCTCCCTCAATATATTACAGGTTTCTTTTGGGGGGGGGTGGATGATCGTGAGTGTGTAAGTATGTGTGTGCCAGAAATTGACATCATATATTTTCCTCCATTTCTCATAGACACAGAATCTCTCACTGGAACTTCCAGAACTTTCTGAATAACTAGTCTAGCTAGCCAGCTTGCTCTGGGAATGCCTTGACCTCCCATGTGCGCCCAGCACTGGGGATCTGAACTCTGGTGTGCTTGCAGTGCAAGCACTTTACCCTTTGAGCCACCTCCCCAGCCCCGTTTTATGACAGGTTCTCATGCTTTCTAGGCTGGCTACATAGCAAGATGCTGTCTGGGCAAAAAAAAGCATAAAAGGCATCCTCAGCTTTAAGAGCTCAGAAGGTGGTGGGGTGGGAAGGTGCTTACGAGGTTAATTGGGACATTTCAGAGTGGTCCTTCCAAGAGGAAGCTCTGCTTTCAACACTGAGTCAGGAAGGAGATGGGCTGGACCTTTGGGAAGGAATCCTCAGCACAAGATCGATCACAGGAACTCCTGTTTATCTGCACAGTGACTCTCAGCATTTGAAATGCATGGGATTCCTGTCAGTTAAGAATCACATAAATTAGGTGGGCAAAATGGCTCAGCAGATGAAGATTTTTGCCACTTAGCCTTACAAACCTGAATTCAGCCCTGGAACCTACGTGGTGGGGAGGAGAGCTGACAAGTTCTCTTTTGACCTCACATGCACTATGGGTGCATACATACAATTAATGTAATATTGGGGTGGGGGCATTTGAGACAGTTTCTATGTTGTAGACCAGGCTGGCCTTGAACTCAGGGATCCACCTGCCTCTGCCTCCCAAGTGCTGGGATTGAAGGTGTATGCCACCATCACCTGGCCAGAAATATTTTTCCTAATGCTGAATTTTCCAAATAGCCACTAGACATGAGGCCAGTTAGAAGACAACAAGCTGTCATCAGATGCTTGCCTGTACTGTAGTATTTTGTAGTGTGGCTGAGTCCTGAGTTGAAGTGTCCCTCTTGGGGACTTTGAAGTATCCATAAGAGCTGGTTGTGGACTTTCTGAAGTGAGTCCAGCTTTCCTCTGGATTCCAGGCATCCTGCCATGATGCAGCTTCAGTGATGAAGATGATTCATTGTTTATGTGCAGACTTCGGTGTTGGTTACCAGCCTGTCTTCTTTTGCAGCTTTTGGCTGATGCCAGCATTTATGCTCAAGAAAATAGTTCTTGGGAACTTTTCCTCTGGCCCAGTGGACCCAATGATGGCAGATGCCATTGACTTCATGGTGGATAGGGTAAGGATCAAGATTCTGCTGAACACTTTGTACTGGGATTTTTTGTGCACAGGCGAAAGGAGGTCCCTGTGTCTCTGGCTATGTAGAGGAAGTCTTTGTTAATACTTCCAAACAGACCCCACTGCTGGGGAGGGCTTAGCTCCACCAATGTCTGCAGCAGCTTGGGAGACAGAGGTGGGCAGATTCCTGTGAGTGAGTTCAGGACAGCCAGGGTTACAGAGTGAGACCCTATTATTTGTAATGTAGAGAGTAATAGTAAAATACTATAGCATCTTTTAAAATTAGAAGATTTCTTAAAGGTTTACTGTAAACATTAAAGAAATAGATCATTTTAACCTGGTACAACATACCTGTTGTGTACACACAATGGGATGGTGCCCATTCATATGTAGTACATGGTTTATTACATTATTAAAGAACTGGAGAGATGGCTCAGTGGTTAAGAGCACTGACTGTTCTTCCAGAGGTCCTGAGTTCAATTCCCAGCAACCACATGGTGGCTCAAAACTATTTATAATGAGATCTGTGCCCTCTTCTGACCTGCCTGCAGGCAGAACACTGTATTACATAATAATAAATACATAAACCTTAAGCCAGGCATTGGTGGCACATGCCTTTAGTTCAGCACTCGGGAGGCAGGCAGATCTGAGTTCGAGGCCAGCCTGGTCTAAAGAGCTAGTTCCAGGACAGGCTCCAAAGTAATACAGAGAAACCCCATCTCAAAAAACCAATAAAAATAAAATTTAAGAGCCAGGCAGTGGTGGCACACACTTTTAATCCCAGCACTTGGATCTCTGAGTTCAAAGCCACCCTGGTCTACAGAGATTTCTAGGACTACACTGAAACCCTGTCTAAAAAACAATAAAATTAGATTTCAGGGGCTAGGAAGATGGCTCAATGGTTAAGAGCACTTTCTGCTCTTGTAGAAGTGAATTTGGTTCCCAGCACCCACCTTCGGTGCTAACTCCAGCTGTAGGAAGATCCAGTACCTCTGGTTGCTGAGGCCACCTGCACTCATGCGCACATGTTGTCTGTGTCATACATTAAAAAAAAAAAAAAAAACAAATCTTAACAAAAATTGTAGGCTGGAGAGATGGTTAAGAGCATGTACTGCTCTCCCAGCACCCACGTCAGGGAGCACAGAGCCACCTGAAACTCTAGCTCCACAGGACCCAGCACTCTGCTGCCTGCACAGGCACCTGCACACATGCAGTTTAAACAAACAAACAAAAAACAAAAAAACTATTTAAAAATTCTTCAGCCCGGCTCTGGTAATTGGGCCTTTGATCTTAGCACTTGGGAGGCTGAGGAAGAACAGTCTCCATCTTAAGGCCAACCTAGATAATACAGCAAGAAGACTGTGCAAAAACAAAAGCTCCCGGGACCTCACACTGGACAATGCATTTGCCATTCTAGGGCGTCTGAGAACCTAGTTCCTTTGGGGCAGAGAGATGTTGTGTCACTTTTTTTCTTGTAGGCAGGGTTTCTGTGTAGTTTCTCCTTCCCGAGTGCTAGGAGTAAAGGCGTGCACCAACCACCACTGCCAGCTGAGCTTTGTTGTTCTTTGAGAGGAGGTATCTTGTGGCCTCAGACTTCACCTCCAGGGTGCTGGGGCGCACGGGTGTGCTGCCATGCCCGGCTAGAATCTTTCTCACTTGACCTCCTTCCTGTACCACTCAGGTCAAGCTGACACAGGAGTCTGCAAGCTGGTGTCTCAGAACCAAGGTTCAGGAGATCCTCACATGCTTATTTGCCACTTTTGAGGTACACAGCTTAGTGGGCTGTGCCCATAGGTACCTGAGTTAAGCAGGTGGTACAGGTTTGAAGCTAAAGGAAAACCACATTCCAGTTGTAGAGCCTGGCATGGGTGCCACAATAGAAAGAGGTCACTGCCCTAAAGTCCCAGACCAGTGTCCAGATGCATTTTCTCATTGGTGGCTTTTCCACCATACACATTCTAACTTATATAAGCACAGGTGACATCTGTGGACCTCCTGTAACATACAAACAAAATTATTTCAACTGTTACCTGTATTTCTTCCTACAGCTGGAGAGTTTGGGTCAAAGTGAACTGGCTTCAAGACTAACTCTCAATTGCCAGAATTCATATGTGGAACCTCATAAAATTCGGGACATCCCTGTAACCATCATGGATGTAAGTTCCTTTTGAAGATGCTTGCCATTTAAAATGTATATGCCAAGATGTAATTATTTTATGACATTAACTATGCTTCTTTCTGCAAACATACCTTGGTGTTCTCAATTCCCAAGTGATCTACTGCTCATTCTGAGTTTTTCCTCCTAAGAGTGACACCATTGTGCTCGGTGTGCTGGTGAATGCCTGTGACCCCAGCACTGGAGACAGAGGAGGAAAAATACTCAGGTTGGAGACAACCTGGTTTATATGGCAAGCTCTAGACCAGCCAAAGATAAGTAGGGAGACGGTCTCAACTCTCTCCCCACCAAAAGTAAAGGAAGTATAGACTAGAGAGCTAGCTCAGCAGTTAAGACCATTGACTGCTCTTGCAGAGGACCCAGGTTTGTTTTCAGAACCTACATGGTGACTCGCAAACATCTGTAACTCTAGTTCCATGGGATCTGACGCCCTCTTCTGGCTTCAGGCATCAGGCATGCATGTGGTGTAGATAGTCATAAAAACACAAAGACAGTTTTCAATAAGCCTAGTAGTAGTCTTTACCCATTTGGGAGGGTTGTTTTTAGGGTGTGGGACCAGCCGTGTGCTAGGCAAGCACTCAGCCATACTCCTCAAGCCCTTGGATTGGTGTATTTTTATTTGCTCATCAACAGATACTGTATTTTAAACATCTGGTGGCAAAGAGGTTTGCCTCACAAGAGTAGAGAATTCCTATAAGGTAGGCCTGGCAAGATGGCTCCACCAACTAAAGACTGCCTACTTTGAGGCCTGAGAGCCTGAGTTTGAGCCCAGAACTCTTTGATAGATGGTAGCTCCCCGTGCTCTGTCCTGGCTGGTGATCAACCGTCTACTTTGTTTCTGTGAATTTGCTTGCTCTAGGTACAGGTGTAGACTCTTCCCCTTAGCACAGTGCTTTTAAGGTTGATGGTAGCAGGACTGGAAACGTGACTCAGTGGCTAAGCACTTGTTCTTCTAGTTCCCAGCACCTACACCTGGTGGTTCACAGCTGCCTGTAACTCCAGCTCCTGGGGAATCTGAAACCCTCTCCTGGCTTCTGAAGACACTGATTTCTTGTGCTTATAACTATCAGAGATTCACACATGTACATATTAGAGATTGGTCAGTGGTTAAGAGCAGCAGGTACTCTTGAGGAGGACCTGGGTTGCATTCTTAACTACAGTTCAGAGGAGCTGATACCCTCTTTTTGCCTTGCAATGCATGTGGTGTACAGATATACATGTAGGTAAAAAAAATTAATAAACCTATACACATCAAAATTAAAATTTAAAAGAGATTTACTGACCCCATAATGTATCTGAATATCATTCCTTTAAGACTGAATGACACTCTGTTACATAAACATTGCATCTTTCAGTGGACATCCTGGTTCTTTGTGATGTTTGGGTATAAAAGGATCTGAGTCCTTGCCTTTACATCTTGTGATTTGGGGCTGCAGAGAGCTCATTGGTTAAGAGCACTTACTGTTCTGGCGGAGAACCCAGGTTTTGTTCCAGCACCTACATGGTTGCTCACAGCCATCTTGCCCTCTTCTGGCCTCCTTGGGTTCTCACACGCATAGTGGCACACATATAATTCTACTTTAAACTGATAATGTCTTCTGATGTCTGTATCCTTTTACATTTATCCCCAGTAGTACATAAGGATTCTGGTTTGTTTAACATTCTGGTTGTGAGCCTAGCCTTTAATGGCCAGAACCATCTCTCTCCAGCCCCAGAGCCTGAATTTAAAAAAAAAAAAAAATCCAGGCATCGTGGCACATGCCTGTAGTATCAGCACTGGGGAGGTGCAAACATGTAGGTTCCCGTTTGCTGAACCACCAGTCTAGCCTGCTTAGTGAGTTCCAGGCCATTGAGAGACCCCCGTCTTAAACAGGCTCTTGAGAATGGCACTTGAGGCTGACCTCTGGCCTCCACGTACACACACTTATGCACATGTATACACACACACACACACACACACGTATTAAGAGCATCTGAAAGACATCCAAAACCGCATGTGCTCAGCTGCCAGAGCCGCTTCTCCCAGAAAGTCTGAACTTCCGCCAGAGCCGCTTCTCCCAGAAAGTCTGAACTTCCTGCTTTAGTCTCTAATTTGTAAAGAAGATTAATTTAGCCAGGTGGTGGTGACACATGCCTTTAATCCCAGCACTCGGGAGGTAGAAGCAGGTGGATCTGAGTTCAGGACAGCCTGGACTACAGAGCAAGTTCCAGGACAGCCAGAGCTACATAGGGAAAACCCTATCTCAAAAAAAAAACAAAACAACAAAATTATGTATATGGGTGTTTTGCCTGCATGTATGTAAGTACATTATGTTCATGCAGTGCCCATGGGCCAGAAGTGTTGTTGTATCCCCTGGAACTAGAATTACACTACTTGTGAGCTGCCATGTGGATGCTTGGAACCTAACCAGGGTCCTCTGGAAGAGCAGCCAGTGCTCTTAACCTCTGAGCCATCTGTCCAGTCCCGAGATTTCATCTTTTTTGAAATTAGCATTTCCAGCGACTACTCACTGTTAATATTGTTAGCTACAGGTGATAGATGCAAGAGACATTTGACAGCAAAATCTTTAGCTTCAGTCTTACATTGGAATTAGAATTTTCTTCTGGTGTGGGGATGGAGCCTTGCACACACTACACAGGCATTCTCCCTCACAGCTACATTCCCACCTGTTGGGTTGAAGTTGGATGTGACCAGGAACACCACCAGTGGGTGGGCCCCGGCTGCTCTAGCACTCAAGATCATGAGGGGGCTACTTTTGTCCTGTACTGAGAATACCATGAGGTTTCAGTCTGATGTGTTTTCAAAGGTGTTTGACCAGAGTGCACTGTCAACGGAAGCCAAGGAAGAAATGTACAAACTGTACCCTAATGCCCGGAGAGCTCACCTTAAGACAGGAGGCAATTTCCCCTATCTGTGCAGGAGTGCAGAGGTCAATCTTTATGTGCAGGTAAGTTCAGCCTGGAGTCCAGATCACCTGAGCTTCAGAGAGTCCCAGGCGACTCTCCCTCGACAGCCCTTTCTGGATGAGTAGCCTGCATCCCACACTGGTGGCAGCTCTTGGTATGGTGTGACCTGGAGACAGGGAATTCAGCCACAGCAAGATATCTAAATGGGAACAGTCTAAGTCTCAGAAAATGACTTGATCTGATTATGCATTAATAGCAACTTCATTCTCTCGAGATAACTAGAATGGGGTGATAAGTGACTGCCTTGACGATTGGGCAAGAATCATCAGGCACCTTCCACAGCGAGTCCTGTCTTTAATGCTCTCACGTACCCGTGGAAGTGGGTCCTAAGGAAGTGATCCTAACATAGGAAACATTGATGCCCAGGGATGCTCATCATGCCATTATCCTCAGTAGCAGAAGGCTGGAAGGCCCTCACACCACTGTGGAAGGCAGGACAAACATCCATTGTTGGAGTAGCATGTTTAAGATGCGTGTGACAGGCTGGAGACTTGCTCTTGCACAGGCTCTGAGTTTGATTCCCAACACCCACACTGTAGCTCACAACCATCTATACCTCTAGTTCCAAGAGATTCAACACCCTGTTTGACCTTCACAGGCATCAGATATATACGGTATATAAACACACATGTGAGCAAACACTCATAAAAGCCCTTGATGTGCGAGTGTGAGGACTCTAGTTCAGATCCCCAGAATTCACAAGTGCCTGGTGGGTATGGTTGCCTGCCTGAACTTCAAGCCTGGGAAGGTAGCATCTGGGGATTCCCCAAAGCAAGCTGGCTATCAAGACTAATATCAGGATGCTGGAAAAAATGGTTCAGTGGTTAAGAGCACTGACTGCTCTTCCAGAGGTCCCATGTGGCAGCTCACAATTGAAACTCCAGGTCCAGGGGATCCAGTACCCTCTTCTGGCCTCCAAGAGCACTGCATGAATGTGATACATAGACATGCAGGCAGGTAAATCACCTGTAACCTTCAAAAGACTGGCCATGTTAGAGAGCTCTGGATTTGATTGAGATTGCCTTCCTCAGTGAGTAAGATGGAGAGTGAACCTTGATTCTCTACACACACAAGCCCACACATGTGCCCACAAAATCAAAGTGTGTATATACACTAAACATAAAGGCCATGGGGGATGAGGAAGTCTATGGAAACTTGGCAAGAATGTGGAGCTTTAAAAAAACAAAACAATTTGAGATCCAAGATCCCACCAGTTCTTTGGTCAGATACAGTGGTACAGAATTGTAACCTTAGCACTTTGAGGCTGACACAAGATTGCTGAGTTCAAGGCAGATCTGAGCTACATAGCGAGACCCATGCTCCTGCTGTCTGCCGGCTTTTCTCTAGTTTCTCTACAGTAGTGTGTAATTTTAGGAAATTTTTATATTCTCCCATCGTGCTCCTTAGTAACATCCTACACCTTCTGTTCTGTGATACAATCACTGAAAAATGAAGGTGTCAGGCTTGGGGAGATGATGGTTCAGATGGTTCGTTTGATAAAAGTTTATAGAAGTGGGGTGGGGTGGGGTGGGGTGGGGTGGCACAGCACTAGGAGGCACAGAAGGCGGCCCTGGGGTTTGCTGGCCAGCCGGCCAGCCAGCCAGCCTAGCCTACTTTTAAACGTGCCGCCTTTGAGGACTATCTCAGAAAACAAGGTCGAGAGAGGGCGGGCCAGTGAGACTACTGGCCGGCAAGCCTGTCAGCCTGAGTTCTGTGCCAGGAAACTACATGGAGGAGGAGACAGCCAACTCCCACAGTTGTCTCACCTCCCCATGTATACAAAGTAAGTAAACTGATTTCTTTAAAGAGTCCTGGAGTGACAGTGATGTTGAGCACATGCACTCACAAAGATTCAGGACTGGAGATGGGGTATCTCAATACCCTTCAATATCAGCTCTAGTAACCAAAGTAATTCTGCACTTTTCCAGATACATTTGCTGCAGTTCCATGGAACCAAATACGCCGCCATTGACCCGTCAGTGGTCAGTGCAGAGGAGCTAGAGGTGCAGAAAGGCCGCCTCGGCCTCAGCCAGGAGGAGCCGTAGACGGAGCTCTCCACACGCCCAGCAGCGTGGTCTTCTACAATCAGTTCAGGTGCACAGTCACACTGGTCCTCACTGTTTCAGAAGTGGGACTGATGGTCAAGACATGCATCAGCTCTTGTAGGCCAGTGTGGCTGTCCCCTCTCCAGGACTGTTTGTTTGGGTTTTTTTAAACTTTTGAATTTGAAGAACTTTTAAAGACTCCAACTTTAAGAATTAGAATTGTGGAAATTTTGCTACCAAGAGCCTTCTCCCCCCACTCCCGTTGTGTTCCTTTGGAAGGCTTGGGATCACATGGCGTTTTCTTTTTCCTGTCTTCTTCCTACGTTCCTCACTGTAAATGCTGCACCCCCAGACTGGAAGAGGAACCCACTTATTTTCATACCACTCCCCTGCAAATCTGCTGCTTCAGTTTCCAGTTGAGCACACCATTTTGAGTATTAGATGTTGTATTTCTGGACATTACAGTCATTTGGAATAAAAACTGGATCTCAGTGAGTGGCTCTTGTGATTGCACTGATTGCTGACAACACACTGAGCTGCTGTTAACCCGCTGACAGCCGCTATCGCCATATACTTTCGTTCTAACTCTCTCATTAATGGAAAAAGAGATGGGGTCTCATTTAAGCTAGGCTGGCCTTGAACTTATTATGTACCAAGGCTAGCTTTGAACTCCTTATCCTGCCTCCGTCTCTCAAGTGCAGGGATTACAAATGTCATCCTAAAAGCTCACCTGACTCCTAAGAGAAATGTTTTTGTTTGGTTGTTTTTTTTTTTTTTTTTTTTTTTTTTTTTTTTTTTGAGACAGGGTTTCTCTGTAGCTTTGGAGACTGTCCTGGAATTTGCTCTGTAGACCAGGCTAGCCTCAAACTCAGAGGTCCACCTGCCTCTGCCTCCCAAATGCTGGGATAAAGGTGTTTGCCACCAATGCCTGGCTTGAAAAATGTTTTTAATACATAGATCAAAAACAGTTTAACTGTCTCCGTCTGTTGATCCAACTTAAATTCCAACTTGTGGATAGATAGCCCTGCCTGTCTCCTCTCACTTTTCCACATGCTTATCCTGTAATTTCTACATGTGCTTTCGAGAGACAAAGTTATTTGAGGAACTGGAGGGATGGCTCAAGGGTTAAGAGCCCTGACTGCTCTTCCAAGATGCTTTTCCAAGAGGACCCAGGTTCAGTTCCCAGCACCCACATGGCAACTCACAACTGTCTAACTCCAGGCCCAGGGGATCTGGGACCTTCACACAGACACACATGCAGGCAAAAAGCCAAATGTACATTTTAAAAAGAAGTTGGCATGGTAGCATATACCTTTAATCTTTAGCACTGAAGCAGCAGGCAGATCTCTGCGACTGAGGCCAGCCTAGTCTACATAGTGAGCTACAGACTCATAATGAGACCCTTTCTCAAAACCAGGGCTCTTGATAGGCAAGATGGCTGCTTCTAAGCAACAGGTTTCAGCTGTGTGCCGAGGTGAGTGACTGCAGGTAAACCTGGAATTCACTCACCTACCCGTGATGCCCAGGGTGCCGTGGCTGGGAGCCATCTTGAGAAGACTGACTACATTGGAGGTCAGAAATACATGCTTTTTTGTTTTGTTTTTGTTTTTCGAGACAGTTGTTTTTCTGTGGCTTTGGAGCCTGTCCTGGAACTAACGCTTGTAGACCAGGCCGGCCTTGAACTCAGATCTACCTCCTCAGTGCTGGGATTAAACGTGTGCGCCACCAACGCCAGGCTAGAAATACATGCATTTTCCCATCTATGGACCCTATAAACTTGCCACAGCACTCATTAGGCTTAGGAGATGGCTGCCTCACAAGCCAGGTTTGCCTTGGAGGAGTAATTGACACTAAGAACAAGGTGTGGTGTGGACCTGGCCGTTTGATGCAGAGGGGAGAGGAGGGTGCTATCCACAAGAACTGGGGACTCTGAGACTGGGGACATGATTAATCATCTTCAGTTTTGCGTGGGTTCCAACAGCAGGAACTATCTGCACACACCTCTTTATTCTGCCAGTGCATCAACGACACCTTTGCCAGCAGTACAGAGAATGGACTCAGTTCTCATGGCTCCACACCTACAGAAGTGTGCTAGGAATGCCTCCCTGCTTCCGGCTATAACCCCGCCTCTAAAGCCTCCAGCCTAAGTAGGTCTAGAGAGAACCCCCCACTTCCTTGGCTGTAAATGCCTTGTTTCTCCTTTTATGTGTGCTCCAGCTGCGACCCACCAACTTGATCTCTGGTGGCCACAACATGAAGTTGGAAGTAGAAAAGCTCCAATCCCATCCCATCCCTGTCCTTGCTCACCTCTCCCTCTGATCCCTCCAACCCCCCCCCTCTGTCCCCAGCTGTGCATCACCACGGGAGCTGAGGTCCCACCCTTTGTCCAGTTACCACTAACAAAAATGCCACAGAAGTGGACTGGATTCTTACTCAGCCTCTCCTTGTGACATATCTGTGCCCAAACCAGTGGCCAATTCAGTGAAAACATGCCTTTGGCCACTACAGGAGCAGGCTCTAAGGAGACACACAATCACTCAATAGAGCCCACCACTCCCATTGTAGGAGCAACCATAGAGCGCACCCCCCCACACTACCTACACCACACCTGCTTGAGCTGCCTCCGTGAATCTACTCATTGTATACAGTCGGCCTATTCAACGTGATACAATAAGAACTATGTCCAGATTCACTATCCTAGCTAACAAAGCCTCAGGAGATCACCTTTCAATGTCCAGCTGGAGATAAACTCAACACTGTAACAGACTGATAATCCCAACACACCTTTATGAGAAAACCATTTACTAAGAATGCCACTGAGGTGTAGTTGGGTTTGTTTTGTTTAAGCTCTTTAAAAGCCCGCCACCCAGCTCCCAAATAAATGCACAGAGACTAATTCTTACTTTACTAATGCCTGAATGCCTGACCTTAGCTTGGCTTGCTTCTAGTCAGCTTTTCTAACTTAAATTATCATGTCTTTAACTACATTTTGCCTCTGGGCTTTTTGTCTTTATTCTGTTCCTACTTATCATCTTTCCTTCTTATTCTATGGCTGGCTGTGTGGCTAACCCCTGGTCTCCTTTACTCCATCCTTGCTCTTCTCTAGATTCCTCCTATTTATTCTGTGCCCACCAGCCCCACCTAGCTATTGGCCATGCAGTTTTCTAATAGACCAATCAGATGTTTTAGACAAGCAAAGTAGCACAGCTTCACAGAGTTAAACAAATGCAACAGACAAGAATGCAACACATCTCTGCATCATTAAACAAATATTCCACAGCATAAATGAATGTAACACATCTTAAAACTAATATTCCACAACACTAAGGTCAACCAAAGAATGAATAAAGAGGCTCATGTACACAATGGCGTATTACTCAGCTGTTAAAAACAATGACATCAGGAAATTTGAAGGCAAAAGGATGGAACTAGAAAAAAATTCTGAGTGAGGTAACCCAGACCCAGAAAGACAAACATGGTATGTATTCACTCATAAGTAGATATTAGGGGCAAGCATGCTACAATCCACAGATCCAGGGAGGCTAGGTAACGAGAGACAAAGTGGGGGGTACATGGAGCTCCCTGGAAAGGAGAAATGACCTCCTGGGTGGCTCCTGGGAACCTGTTCCTCACACTAGATTGCCTTGCCCATCCTTAATACAAGGGAGGCGCTTAGTCTTACCACAACTAGATAGGCCATGCTTTGTTTACACACATGGGAAGCCTGCCCCTTTGTAAACTGACAGAGGGATGGATGGGGGAGGGGGCAGAGGGGAGACAGGGGAGGGGAATGGGAGGACAGGAGGGAAGGGAGAATGCAGCCAGGATATTAAATAAATAAATATAAGAAAATAATAGAGTGTCGCTGAGGGGCCATGAGATGACTGCATTAAGGCACTTGCAAGCCAGGCCTTACAACCTGAGTTCAATCCCCGCAGCCCCCATGGAAGAAGAGAACCAGACTGCAGCAGATTGTCCTCAGACCTCCATATGATGTGCTGTAGCCCACCCCCCAACTTCCCCCACAGACAAGTAAATGTTAAAACCCAATGAGATGGCTCGGCAAGTAGAAAGCTTGTGGCTAAGTCTAAGACCTGAGTTCAATTCCCAGAACCCACATGGTGAAAGGAGGGAGCCAATTCCTATAGTATCATCTGAGTTCCACACAGAGACCATGGTTAGAGCACATGCAGACACACAAGGCAGACAGACACAGACTAAATAAAAAATGTAATATATCTTAAAGAATATTGACCATCTCTGTGTGCTCAGACTTTCATCGCTACCACAGGTCCGGTCATACTGGTTTCACCGACAGCTCCAGATAGTAGAAACAGTCTGGCCTGCGTGCCAACATGACCTCTGTCAAGCCAGAGGCCAGCCACAGTGCTTCCTTTGACTGATGGTTTAACATCTCTTGGGAGGTAGGAAGCACTAGTAAGCCATACAGGCGGGGTTTGGCATTTTAACCGGTTGCACCCACCCAAGGCTTCAGGCAGGCCTCACAGTTTCTCTGTGTCTTGAGTTCCCAAACACACAAGGAGCTGCTGTGGGTAGTCACCAGATATAGCCAGGAGATGAAGGGACTGTAGGGCTGTGCTTTCTTTCCAAATCCTCCCTGTATGAGTCCACTCCCCCTAAAAATCTTTTCCTACCTGCTCCTACAGTGGGTGACTGCAAGTTGCCATTTCCAGTCCTGACAGGTCTGGGCACTAGCATGGCCTGCTCTTTCGGGCCTGTCCCTGAGGCTAGCCTTCTACTGCAGCCTCAGACTCCTCCAGGCAAAACTACAATCACTCCTCAAAAAGGCCATCACACCTGCCCCTTCTCTTCCCCCAGGCATCATGGAGCCTCCGAAACTCCCACCCAGACCACCTACGCCTACGAGGCTCAGGGTGCATAAGACAAGAAAGAAGATGGGTGGGGCAGGAGGAAATGAGGACTCTGAACGGGAACTTTGGAGAGAGCTATCGATGCCTCTGGCCTGAAGCGTCTGGGTCTTCCTGCCTTGCTTAGGTGCTGGCACCCGCTGCTATGGGACAGCATAGCATGGTTGTGGGTGGAGGCAGCTCTCTCTAGTGGAGGCCAACTCTAAATGCACTGAAGATGGGAAGCTGTGCCCCCTGCCCTCTGCACCACCAGGCTGAAGGCCTTACCTGAATAAGAGAGGTCTATGCAGAACCAGACTCTCAGAGCTGCAACCACCCCCAGAGCCCAACCCTACCTGCCTCAGGCTAGGACTTGGCATTTCCTGCCCAGAATATTGGAAGTGGCCCTTCATTGGCTCTCCAGGCCCCTGTCCTCTTCCAGCCCCAATGCCATCCACACATTAGTCTGATCTTGTCACTTGCTGGAGAAAACAGCTGGAACAATAAATGTGAAATATTGTAGAAATAAGACCAGTTTCTGAAATTCTAAAATATGGCTTTTAGGCTGGGCAGAAGACTCGGTTGTTAAGAGTGCTGGTTGCTCTTCCAGAGGACCAGGGTTCAATT